GAAGCATTAACCATGCTGTGGTAGACATTTACCATCAGACACAGACACTGGTAGGTATCGATTCTGGCATGATTCTCTAAATTTAACATCAGTCTCTCCTTTTCATTCTGTATAGAGAATGACAAGGATACACTGTTGTTATCATGATACATTTGGTAAAAGACTCTAGAAAAGTTGTGGTTTAAATTGCCAAGAGAAATAAACATACTTACACATGAACAATCATGTTTAAAACTTGCTTTAAACTTTATCGACTGAAAGTCATTTCTTTTTGCAAAGATCAATTCGATGCAAGTACTCATTGAATAATATTTAAAGTTTAAAAATAATCATTTTAAGGTTATGAATATGTCAAAGAGTTTTGTCGTTTCTGCTTTCACAAATCCTGCGTCCAGCATTAATTTAGTCAACAAATCCAATAACGGGAACTTTTCTACAAGATACAAGAGTTTTCAGATACATCTTTATGAGAAATAAACATTTGTATAGTTTTTAAGTAAAGTAACGGAAAATATTCTTCTTTATTTTAGTGAATTAAGTTATTTTATTATTATTATTAAAATGAAGAAAATACGTAGATTCTGGGACTGAAGTTAGTAGGTTTGCAGAAAAGGCCTAAAATACGTAGATCTACGTAAAAAGACGTAGAGTTGGCAACACTGCATGAACAACCATTTATTTTATCTTCAGAGTTACCATGTCTCCTTCTTTTTTTGTTGCAGTGTTTACAAATAATATTTGAGCGGCGACTCCGCTTTAATGTCCTATTGGAGGTGGATGCATCAGTATCCATTCCAGATTCCGACTGCACAGTGACAAAATTACCTGCCGGGGGAACGAATCCCCCCGGGTCATCGGGGGGATCGTTCATGACGGTAAAAAATTAGTAAGAGGACTTACCAATGATCCAAATATGTACACAATATATTAAATAATAATTAATATTTACAAAAATATACAAAATGTACCCTTCTGATCGAAAAATTAATATATAAAGTTTTTCACCATAAAACGCGTCTACCAAGTTAAACGTTTCCCGCGCTTCATCAAGTAATACATGACACAGGCCCCAGAACCTTCTTGTACATGTGTCTCATAATATATAGATTTCGGATGATTTTTGTTAGTGAATATGCATTGAACTTATTTTATCTTTCTAAGGCCGTATACAGAAAGAAAGCCGAAAGCCGATCGGCGCCGATCAGCGCCGATCGGCGCTTATCGGCGCCTATTGACGCTGATCCTTTTTGTATGGACCGGCGCCGATCGGCGCTGATCGGCGCCGATAAGCACCGATAAGCGCCGACACGCGCTGGTCTGAATAATACATAATTTGTATAAGCGCCGATCGGCTTTCGGCTTTCTTTCTGTATACGGCCTAATGCATTTCAGAACGAAGCGAGTCTTGATTCAATTAAAAATATTGCCAGAATCACTAAGTTCTCCCTAGAATTGCGCTAAAAATTAATTTGTTGCGTTATTAGCAATAATTTCATCATCGGTCATCTGAAACATAAATTTCACGTAGCTGGGATAGGATGTCTAATTGAACTTCGAACATATTTGTGATATATGCAATATTCACTTACCGACTTGCCGATTCATCGTCCTGTTCGTATTCTGGCAAAATTAAAGACTATTTCTATTCAGTAATCATTTCTCTCGATTTTATGTATAAAATTCTTGTTAGGAAGGTGTAAAACCCGAAGATAAGACTTTCCTTTGAAAAGATTGATTAACAAAATAAGTAATTATTACAATTTTTTGTTTGTTCCATCCATGCTTGCATGTATAACATGAAATATATTAATTACAAAACTCAGACATCTGCGCGCCACACCCGCTATTCCCTTCAACTGAGCATTCCTCCGTTGGTCTTCGGATAGCGTCCATAGTGAGTTTAATAATATGGTTATTCGAGTGCTTCGATATTACTGCCACACTTTGCATCACTGACTCACGCTGAAGCAGGATCTTGGATTAAGTAAGCTATCCAAACACCATAGCGTGCCATCAAAACCTATTAGTTAGAGTTCAATGGGCCAGTGTGGGTTTTGTTGCCAGTGGGGCTGAATCTCTAAACTTAAAATTGAATATGACAAGGGTGACAAGAAAATATTGAGAAACTATTGACTTATCTCACCAATGATTCATGTATATATTTTTTTTCTTGCTAGGTAGGCAAATGTCTGTGTGGGGTTTTCCCACAATCTTATCTATACATCTTATATAAGTACTAGCTGACCCAGGGAACTTTGTACCGCCCTAAAAAAATAAGGGTTGTCCAGCGGACAAAATTGTGAATCTAAACCATTCTCAGATCCCCTTGAACACACACAAAAAATTTCATCAAAATCGGTTCAGTCGTTTAAGAGAAGTTCAGTGACATACACACTCACAGAAGAATTATATATATAAAGATTGAGAAATATATGAAATATTATATAATATGTATTAGCAATTTATTACTATAAATAAATATAAAACATTAAATATTAAAACCAAATATATTTACATTTATGCAAAATAACATTTATTATTTACATTCATATACAATCATCACAAGCACGTACATTTATTCACAAACAATATCACTATCGTGCCGTGCATCAGCTGAACTACGAAAGTCGTATGGCGAATGGACACGCGCACTCACTTCACCGCTTATTGTTCGGCAAACCTGCTGGCTCACGCGCAGAGGCCACGTTGCACGACGACAGTCGGAACCTATACTCCGTACCGTACTCACGCTCAATTGCTCCGCGTTTGCTAGCTCACAACCGTGTTATTATTGTTTATGTTTGCTTTGACTGCGCTTTTCCTTTCTTCCTCTGTGCTTGTGTATCACTGACTGTGCTCTGTAGTATTTCGCATGCACAGTACTATCGTCTGCATAGCAATGAATATTCCGTAGAGAAATCAAATCATAATTTTTTTTTTCGAGGGTACCTGGTATCGATAACTTCTGACCCCCAAAACAAAGTTTGGTGCAATAAGGTTTCTCCTTTAATAGTTTACTCTTTATTTTGTTACTTGTATCCTTTCTCCTATCTGTTTATTTCAACACGACAAGAGCAAGTAGGGTAACATAAGAAGCTCGATGGCACAGGTGGTTAGCGCGTTCAGTCTGCGACTGCGGAAGTTAAGCAACTTTCGATATTGTCATGGTCTGTAATTTGATGGATGACCAAAAACTTAATATCTCGAGCACCTCCGTGCTTCGAAAGGCACGTTAAGCCATTGTGTTGTTTTCGCTTGTATTTGCTGCAACTGTTAGATGTTTCAATCCAAAGAAAATGTTACTACAGAAAAGTCCAGGCAGCAGACGGGACTCGAAACCGCACTCTCCGCTATCCGAGCGGATGCACTGATCAATTGTGCTAAAGTGACCTTAATTTTCCCCCTCACCCCAGTAGATGGAGGACTGTTGTCTCTCCCCTGGGACACCTCATTATTTCTATAGTACTGATGTCCATCATAGGTTAGGGAGACATCAGAACTTCTTTTAATATGTATACCGAGTACTCTAATATCCCTTGTCGCAGCTCCATCATGTTTAGCCATACTGTCTGGATCTATTTTTATAAAATATAAAACAAATTAAAGCAGATTGTTTCTTTTTTCATAACCAGCAGAACTTCTTAGTCTCCTGGGACTTTTTGAAAATGAAGGCTTAGGTATATGATTATTGGGCCCAATTCCGGCGTCATTCTCTAAACTTAAAACTAAATTTAAGGTCAGTCTCACCTTTTCATTCCGTATAGAGAAGGACAAGGATGCACTGTTGTCAAATTTAAGTTTAGCTTTAGAGAATCATGCCAGAATCGACATCATTGTTTTTAAAAGTTAATTCTGATGTCACCCCAAGTTAAGGTAGACATCAGTACTATAGAAATCCTTCTGTCTCCCCCCAGGGGCCCGTCAGGAGTTTCTGGTCCGATTTCTCCTGGTAAAATTTTCTTTAGATTGAAACATCTAGCTGTTAAATGCTTTAAAAATAATTAAATAGTAAATAATGGTGTCGATTCTGGCGTGATTCTCTAAACTTAAAACTAAATTTAACATCAATCTGTATAGAGAATGACAGGGATGAACTGTTGTCAAATTTAAGTTTAGCTTTAGAGAATAATGCCAGAATCGACATCAATGTAATGCTTTATAGTAGGTATATAGTGATATGTGCTAAAGATGAATAAAAATAATTTTAGCAATGATGTTACCTGCTATTTTTTGGAGATGGGTTTTTTGAGACCTTTCGTAGTACCATCGGTCTTTTGGAGAAGAGTGTATCTACGTATGATTCATCGATATAAACGATAGGCCTTCTCTCTTGGCGATATTGTTTTTTATTTGCGTACGTATTCGATACGTTGCAAACGTATATTTGAAGTTTCAATCAGTACATTTCTGTTGTTTTCAGTATTTAAACCTAAACTTTTAATTATTCGTCGTAGACTTCGTTCTGAGCCTTTGAAATTTATACCTTCCTCTAGCTTCTTCTTCAGCTTTCCGATGGTGGGACGTCCTATGAAATTTATATATGCACCTCTTTATTACTGCTTGATCGAAGTTATCAATATTTGTGACCGGTTTTGATCTGGAGAGTTTTTTGTCTAGTGTTCTAAATACTGATATTAAATTGGAACTATTGGCATCAGTGGAACTTTTCCTTAACGTTGCTATGAAAGTTTTTATAGTCTCCGCTGTCATTTTTTGAATTTTCCCAAATTCACTAATTTATACTATTTAATATCATATTTCCCGCCTGAATAACTTCTGCAGTTTGTTTTATTTAGCTTAAATCTACGGTGCTGCTGTCCGGATCGAGTAAAATAAATACCCTTAGATTCGCCAATTTCACTTTGGATTTGTTTCAAGGAATCATAAAGTCATTCATAGTCATAATCCCTTTTCAAAAAACAAAGCACGCCATACACCATTTTCCGTGCTTGTCCTGTATACGTCATTGACTTACATTGAATATTTTGGGGTAATTTAAATTTTATATGTAGCAAGCTTGCAACCCTTTTATATAAAAATTTGATGATGGAATGGAGAGTGCGGTACAAAAGACAATACGCTTCATATTATCGAATTTAGGTAGTAAATAACAATTTCTTATTTTATACGCGTTGTACAATGACAAAAAGTTTTAGTTTCGAGACTGTGGTATTGTAAATTGTGTTAAACACAACATACGCGATTGTGACATACGCATAGGTTACAGGTTAGAGATTTGTACGTAAAGTTTTAGTAAAAAATGGATTCGCCGCCGGCCCAAGAAGTAACTGAACTATTGCGACAATGGGAGGAGCAGCACCAGTCGCCGAATTACGATCCAATACCAACGTTGACAAGGTAAAATCCAAAGTTTCGGTGTATTCTGGTTTAGCACATTTTTTTATTTTCACTTCCGCATCATTTGCGAATATGTTAGCTACACTGCGTAATTTTATTCATAGAACATTATGTGTATAGTATAATGAAACGCAATGTATGCGTTAAATATGTCGACATTAAATGCAATGATAAAATAAAAAAAAAATAGAAGTTTAAAAAGTTTACTATTTTTGATCTTTTTGTAAATGTGAATTTATGTTATGTCTACTTAATGATACAAAAGTTTTTATTAAAACTTTACTTTTTATTTATTAATTTTATCATGTTGAGCACTGCAGCTAACTTTTCAAATTGGAATCAGTTTACCCGGGGAAGTTCCGACTCTTATGCAGAAAATTTCAGAGAAATAACTCTAATCTTTAATATTTTAGCTATGGATGGAGTCACCAAAGAATATGCTTTTGTTGGCAAGGTTGCTTTTGGTGCGGATGGTCAGATTATGAATCTGCTAACACCTTACATGTTATATGGCCAGTGCTTGCTCATATATATGTTTATTTACAGGATAGCAGAGATAATCGAAGCGGAAACCGAGAATTTTATGAAGAAGGACCCGGATCCATTTGACGAAAGGCACCCGTCTCGCACTGACCCAGAGTGCGCACTTGGCCATGCCTTGAAGGTTATGTTTAAGAAGGATAATTTTATGACCAAGGTCTGTGTTTGTGTATTAAAACCCTATTTTAGTATTCTTATTTTTTTATAACATGTTGGTGTCAGAAAGTGAATTTTCCATGAAAGTAAATGAAAATAAATATCCAATAAGATTTTATAATAATCCAATAGGCTACACATTGGTGTCAATATGTGCATGACTCTTTTTTTAATCTGATATGTTTGTTTATTACATCTGGACTAAATCTGAAGCATTCTGTAATTTCGCTCAGATCAGTCCTATGTAAATCTATTTGCTCAAAGTATTTTGAATGACTAGAAAGATTAATCTGGTTAACTGTCATGTATCTGTAATGTTATGAGGTTAGTTTCTGTTAGTGATTAAAAATTAATCTACGGTTGGCCATGCTGTTTGGTCTCAGCTCAGATTAATCTGAGATCACTTGACCAAACACCCGTTGCCTCTGCAATTCAAATACCGAACGCAGCTTCTATAGAGAATGGCACAGATGAGATGTCAAATTAAATTTTAGGTTCAGAGAATTATGCCCAATTTGACACCAGTATTTTACTTATTAGCAGTTGAGTCAAATTACCAAAACTTCTATTGACTAATAGCTTCTGTAAACTAAGTCTGCTGCCTGGTCCACGTGGAATTTTTCTATTTATATTTTCTTTAGATTTAAACAAGAAGCAGTTACAAAGTTCAAAAAATTCAAATTATAACTAAGAAAAAGTTGTTGATTACTATATTTTTATCATTAAAAAATAATGCAAAATTTATCTATCCGTTGACTGGGGTCACTTGAATCTCTCTATTTAATTTCTTAGAAATTTAGAAGACAATTAAAATTAAGGCAGTAAATAATCTTTCATAAAACTCATCCAATTTTAATTTCTTTCATTGATATACTTGGGTATATCAATAAGCCCACAAGACCATTCTTCAGGGTGAACAATGGCTATATGGCTATTATCTGGTTGAAATATATATGCCATGATTAACTAAGTGATTCCAATGTCAACTGAGTTCATCACCTTTACACCATTTATATATGAAAATTAACTGGCTGGAAGGTGCCTAGACTGTCTGACTTATATTGAAAATTCTTGTATTTATAATACAGAATATGCCATTTAATTGGCTGCCCATTCTCTTGTATATCCCGTATATTATGTTTCAGTGCTAATGTCACCGGCTGCATCTGACAGGGTAGATTATTAGTTTTGCATAAAAAGACAAGGTATTGATTTGATCAAATTCTCTCTGGCTATTGTTCCAGTTGGTAAATGACTACGTACGAGACACATACTATTCTCGTCAGAATATAACCGGACGTGATGTGCATAAGCTTAATGTGGCCGCATGCCGACTTACACTTGATCTAATGCCAGGCCTGGAGATGAGTGTTGTGTTTCAGGTGAGATATTATACTTAACCCAAATAAATAACTACAGTGTGTATATACTGTGAATTTTGTGTTACTTGAGAGACTTACAATTTGTGTAAATAATGATAGTGCGAACAGGAACAGTTATAAATAGTAAACATCAAAAGCAAATTTGTAAAAAACATACCTATTGTGGAATTATTATCCATTTAAAGTATGTAGGTACTAAAAGTAGCTTTATTTGATACTGTACTATACCGTTGCAAAAGAATTAGCCAAATAGTCCAATGAGATAAAAGCTTCAATAAGTCTTATTGTGTACACAATAAGACTTATTGAAGCTCGTAGTAAATCTGTCTTTGGAGGTGCAGTTCATGTACCACCATGTTCTTGAATTTTTTTTTTTAAATCCTTTAGGTTTCATAATTGCACAATTAGTGAGTTTACATGAAGAAATTGTTTTGAGAAAATTAATTAAAGTAAAATATCTTTTTTTGTTGGATATATAACCTAAATTATTGTCTGAATTATATAGTTAAGTAAAGTTAAAAACATTTTAAAATTTATGGTGTATAGAGGTTTTAAGAGGGGAGGCGGGCAATGTTTTTCCATACAAACATTCTCGACTGATTCCTCCTTGATTTTTTATCACTAAAGAAATGATTTTCATACATAAAATATATTTTTACTCATGCTATGCTATACCAAATGAACCTCGAATTTTGCAATTATTATACGCATTTTTCAGCGTTAGCTACTGTTGTCCCTATCGCATGGTATTTGCCAAAGTGCGACAGCAAAAGATTTTCAAATACTTATTTCTCAAATGTCTCTCAGCGCGCGTCCGCACTTAAGGGAAGTAGGTAGGGCATAGCGGGAACTAACTTCCACCAGACGATCACTGTAATGGCCTATTAACCAGGTCAGCAGCAGCCGTAATCGACGACGGCGAGCACATTCAATGTAAAGTAATTTTAAACTTTATCTACAATTCTACATACTTTGCGAGAAATTACTTCACACAGTAAGTCCTCGCTGTGTCGCTGCCGGCTGATGCCAGTCCAGTAAAATTTTCTCTAGTTTAACAAATATTTATGTACTTACATTGCATTTATTTGTAAGTGGCAGACTGGACAGATGTTGTCTTACCGATTAAAAATGTAAACAGTTCCTAAAACCTGACTGCTATCTGATTATCTATCTAGAGTTGTTCAGTAAAGTTTTCTTAGTATCAGAAAACTGAATATATTGATGCACTTGGAAAAGTTGTTCTGAAGCGCGTCACAACGAAGCGGAAAAGGGATATTTTTTTATAAATATTGTTATTTTTATTGTCTCTGCCCCCATTATAGACATGATCTACATATAAATGTTCATACCTATGGTTTCTTATCTATTGCCCATCGCAGGACAACGAGTCGTTGATCCATCGGCTAGTGAACTGGGCCACAAACTCAGCCGAGCCACTCCAGTGTTACGCGACTGGTTTACTAGCTGCAGCTATGGAGGTGCAGGAAATAGCTACTAACTTCAGGTAATAACAACAACAAGTCTTATCCATTGCTATTAGCTCCAGTGTTACGCGACTGGCTTACTAGCTGCAGCTATGGAGGTGCAGGAAATAGCGACCAACTTCAGGTAATGTCTACAACAAGTCTTATCCATTGCTATTAGCTCCAGTGTTACGCGACTGGCTTACTAGCTGCAGCTATGGAGGTGCAGGAAATAGCGACTAACTTCAGGTAATAACTACAACAAGCCTTATCCATTGTTATTGGCTCCAGTGTTACGCGACTGGCTTACTAGCTGCAGCTATGGAGGTGCAGGAAATAGCGACCAACTTCAGGTAATGTCTACAACAAGTCTTATCCATTGCTATTAGCTCCAGTGTTACGCGACTGGCTTACTAGCTGCAGATATGGAGGTGCAGGAAATAGCTACTAACTTCAGGTAACAACAACAACAAGTCTTATCCATTGCTATTAGCTCCAGTGTTACGCGACTGGCTTACTAGCTGCAGCTATGGAGGTGCAGGAAATAGCGACTAACTTCAGGTAATATTTACAAGAAGTCTTATTCATTGCTATTAGCTCCAATGTTACGCGACTGGCTTACTAGCTGCAGCTATGAAGGTGCAGGAAATAGCGAATAACTTCAGGTAATATCTACAACAAGTCTTATCTATTGCTATTAGCTCCAGTGTTACGCGACTGGCTTACTAGCTGCAGCTATGAAGGTGCAGGAAATAGCGAATAACTTCAGGTAATATCTACAACAAGTCTTATCTATTGCTATTAGCTACAGTGTTACGCGACTGGCTTATTGGCTTATAAACTGAACGACTATGCTTTGAGAAAAATATTTTAAACAACGAAATTAAATACTTTTTTCGTAATTATTGATGTTTCCAATCTTTTTCAAACAAATGCAAAGATTCTTTTTGCGTGGACGGAACTTTCTCTGTCAACTAGCAGAAAACATCCTTCACTACCACACCCGAATTATTCAAGCAAAACAACATCTTTATTTAGCGCAATCAGTTCACCCGTCTCCTCCCCACTCACCTCTGCACATCTTGAGAACGCCCTTCAAAGTAAAATTTCAAGGTCCTATTTCCATAAGTAATTCAAAAATCGCAATTAGCCTTTAACATACGCTCCAATAATACCTTTTTTTTTACTTTTCTAATTACATTCAAAAGTATAACAACACCTTGAACCAAACCATGTGATGTTAACTTTTTTTATATAATGAACTAGTTGTGCCCTGCGGTGTTACCTGCAGTTTATTAGTGATATTTTTCCGCGGCAAAGCGTAAACTATGTGTTAATCCAGGGTGTCAGCTAACTCCTTTCTAAATTTTATTAAAATCGCTCCAGCCGTTTAGGCGTGAAGAAGTAACAAACATACATACTCACAAATTTTCGCCTTTATAATATTAGTGTGATTTGATTTAATAGGGTATTTGACAAGTTTTAGAAAACGATCTCACGTTATTGACTAATGTTTATGGAGTCCGTAAAAAGTGGATATTCATCATTCTGTTGTGTATTTCAGTAAAAATAACCAAATCAAAAACTCCATTTTCAAGTTGCCGCGAAAACGTTTCTCTGGACAATATGGCGTCTTACTAGTGTCACACGACTGATATTAAAGCATCAAACGATACAATGTAATGTCACTTTAACCGGAAGTTTACTTGCGTGTGACGTCTTTTTAGGCTCCGCCAATCCAAAGCGTTTTGGGTCACGTGACAATAGATAAGAAAAGTATTATCTTTTTCGTTAGTTTTTAGTAAAATTATGAATATTTTTTTGCGAAAATAGTAAAAACCCCTGCCAATATTCATTCTAAACACAGATGCTAACAATTGGCACTTTATTTTTAATACTGTCAAATACCCTATTACAAAGAGTTAATTGAGCAATAAAACAAACATAATATGGGTAAAGTAAAGTTAGTTTTTCTCTGTTTCACTGTCGTAAACAATGTTTAAACGTTTGTTCCAGAGATTTGAACGCGATGCTGGTACCGCGCATGCTCAAGAGGCTACACGAATTGAGAAACAAGAATCAGGAGGAGAAGGTGAGTTATTTCATCATCAGGGGCATGGGCACTCTAATTTTTCAGCTTAGCAAAAAGTTTTTAAGTAAATAGGTCGAGTATAATAAATCTATTTGGCTATGGGCATGGCCATACCTTAGATTAAAACAAAAAGGGTAGATACGGTACGCTCATACTTGCATCAAACAAAAACTGATCCTACGGCAGCGCGAACGGGACGGCGAGAACAGCGTCACTGCACTACCGACCAATCACGCGACCAGTACTCGACGTCACTACCGACTCAGATTTAAAACAAATAGCAATTTTTATGAAAAAATATATTTTATAGTACTTACGAATGAAAAGTGATGCCGTGGGTTTTATTTTTAGGTCTTGAGCAATTTGAGCACTTTTTAAAAACACACTTAGGCATTGTTTTATCACATAAACACAAAATATTAGCAATATTTCTTTTTGGCGTTCACATGTACGTTGTTTGCATGTCAAGTTGTGACTAAAGCGGATCATTTTTGTGAGGCTAGTGCCGTATCTACCCTTTTTGTTTTAATCTAAGGGCCATACTGATTTTTCTGTTTAGAAAATGGTTTCTTGTAAGCCAATTTAGGTCAATTGTAAATCTTTAAATATTACAAAAAAAACTATTCTTTAAACTAAAAACAAATCTTCTATTCTTTAAAATGCGAGGAACTCGATGGCGCAAGTGGTTAGCTCGTTCGGCTGCGGTCGTTGAAGTTACGCAACTTTCGCAGTGGTCGTTCATTAGATGGGTGACCAAAAATTTACTATCTCGAGCTCCTCCGTGCTTCGGAAGGTACGTTAAGTCGTTGGTCCCGGCTGCATCTGCAGTCGTTAGCGCCCATCAATCCGCACTGGGCCCGCGTGGTAAGTCACGGCCCAATCTCCTTATTCCATCCATAGGGAAGGCCTGTGCCCCAGCAGTAGGGACATTAATAGGCTGATGATCCTTAAAAAAGGATTATATAGCCTTAAAAACTCTTTAAAAATATAAATATATTTTTAAACTAAAAACAAAGTATAAGGACAATAAACAAAAGCAATCTTACAATTTTCAAGTGCTAGTATCTAGTATCGAATTACAACAACCCTTTACAACAAGAGTTTTCAAACAAACATGCACATTAGGCATTAAAGAGACATAGTGCATTTTAGACATTTCGATTTGTAGACTAAATATCATTAAGGCAATTACAATGTCTAGGCATTCATGTGTAGGCAATCTGCTTCTTAGACTATTGACGTATCAGACATTTTTGCAACAGTGGCATCTTGCATTTTAGGCACTATGCTCATAACCAATCTTTAATCCTTTGTCTGTGTACGCTTTTATGGTGCCTTTTTTGGATGTTAAATATTTGATTTCATCTATTAATTTGGTGGTGCCTTGTATAAATTGAAAAGCTAAATGTTTGGTTTTTATTATTATTTGTTCAGCAATCTAGCAACAATACAGTGACGCCGCCTAACCAAACGCGGCACTTCGCGAGATTCGACAAGAGGAACAATGATATCAAGACGAATGGACCCGCCGCCAATAAGAAAGGTATTTATATGATAAAAAACAATTACATACTATGTTTATTCATTTTGCCTGTAACATATCAAAGGCAGTGACCGATATAATCATTGCATTAGTAAGTTTTATAACTGTGTCGAATTCTAAAAACTTCTATCTGCTTCTTATATTTGTTTGTTGACGGTGTCCAAAAACTTCTATGATCTTGAAATGTTAATTTCGAAATGTCAAATGACTCATTTTATACCATATGCATATTATACTCTTTCACGGTTCACGGAAAGAAGTTAGTGGAGCACTTTCTTTATCATGAAATCACTTATAAAATTATAATAGAAAACTGCGCCACTGTCAATGGCTGGAGTAAAGACAACTACTTATCCGACTCGTTTTCCTAAAAATATTTTATGAAAGTTTATAAAAATGGTTTCGTTTTCAGAATAGCCTATCTGACAAGTTAATGAAAAAGTTCATATGTTATTTATTAGGAGTATTATGTATGTCATGACATTGGTGTGTCAAATCTTTATTTATTTATTTGAGCTGTATGTGTTTGTTTTTGACTAACATTAGTTTTTGAGTATAATCTGATTGTTACCAACCCACAATGGATCCATTGTTATCCGAAATAAATCATTATTATTATTATAGTGACTCCATAGATATTTTTAATTTTGTTGAATATATCAGTAAAAAAAAAATCTAATATGCCACGGAAATGTTTCCCTGGCTGCCTACCAAATATGGCGTCTTTACAGACAGGTGACTTCACACGACTCTCATTCAAACGCCAAATAGTACGAAGTAATGTCCCTTGTTCTGGATGTTTACAAACAGGTGACATCATTTTGGGCCCCGCCAAGCCTGGGCGTTTTTGGTTACGTGACAATAGGTCAAAAATACATTTCTATTCCATAATTAGTTAGGTTTTATGATAGCGGATAAAAGGATTCTTAAAGTTTAACAATTAATTTGTTTTGTTAGATCGAGAAAAAGACGAAGGCGGAGGGGGTGACACTGTGATGGACGAGATACCTCTACAGCCAGGCAAGGACCCCGAAACACCAGTGAAGAACTATTCCAACTGTGAGTATAATATAATATTACTTATATTTGAAGAAAGAGAGAAAGAAAGAAAAAGTATTTATTGGCCATACACGCAAATACATATGTAGAAAAATTAACAATAAAATTAAGACAAAATACACAAGTACAAAGGCGAACAAAGGATAGCCAATCAGCCTGCCTCGGCTTAATGTTGTTATCGTGGGAACGAATATTCCCACCAAAACAGCGCTGGTATTCTCGCTGGGCCTGTACAAGGATGCCGGAAGGACAAAATATTAAAGTGCTATAAAATTGTAAATAAAACGGAATTTAAATGCAAAAATATATAAATATTACAATGCTTAAACTATGTTACAAAAATAATACAAGTATATTAGCATAACATATCCATATCATATCTCATTCGTTGCTATAAACATATACAGGCTGTTACAAAAATACAAATAAATCTTGAAGGGCGTTGAAGTACATCATATAAGGAGTCTTCTCTAATTTTCTTAAAATATTTGCATGAAGTTTTAGTTGTTTATAAAAACAGTTATTTTTAATGATATCGAACTAGTGACGTGTCTTAAAATGATCGATATTTTTATTAATCGGGTGATTCTCAGTTAAGAGGTATGTTCGACGGCTAAGCCAAAAAAATCATTATATTTGGAAATTATGATCTAAAATCTTAATAATTTTAATTAACTAAATGTGTTCTAAATTGTCACTTAAAATTATATTCTAAATATGCATAATTTACTTACAATAACAGCACAAAGAGGAAAAACATCTCTCCCCTGGGGTGTCCCTTAACCGTTTTTTTTGTAAATCAGTAATTTTTAGTCCATTGAAATTTAATTATTACTTTTCTATCGGTAATAACATGAACCCTGATAACTTAGTTACAGTATGTAACCATTAAATTCATTTATATTTGCCCTTTTTATAAATAATATTAATCGCAAACTGTGTCCTCCGAGTTTCGTGTCTCGCCCCCTGGCCTTAGGTTTAGTTTGAAAATCGTATTTGTTTACCATAGTCTGTGGTAGTTTTGACCTTGAAGACACCGAGTGTCACGTGAAGTTAGCAGCAAGCGCTGCACAAGCCATCCGCGCGGCAATTTTTTTGGCCATTTGCGCAACGGTGCTCGATAAGTGCAGCCATGTTGATTGATCGAAGTATTTACCCTGGTAATTTTTTTTTCGTATTTACGTGTTTAAATACTGCAATATCTATATACATTTATTTTAAATAGTGCTGCAAACCTTTTATTTATTTGTAATCTTTGTAAAATTAGTGGTTTTACGGCAATTTTAGATTTTTAACGAAAATGTCTCTCCCCTACCATATATCCTCTGGCTATTATGGAGCCAGGCTACTAACAAAACTATAAAAACGATGCAATAGCTCAATAACAGTAATGATAATTTATAGAGAATGTACAATTGCATATATTTTAGATAATTGTTTCGCTTTATATCGTTATTCCACTAAAATCTGATTGCACGTATAAGTACTTTACGGTGCATCCTAATATGCGCTTTAAGCGCATTGCAATAAAGTTCATCTTGTCTCTACCCGGTACTCAATATCTCCCCTGGTGTCTCGTAAAACGAGAATAAATTAAAAAAATGACTGATGATCATCTTAAAATCATATTAAAATCATCTGTCTTGATAAAAGTAGTGATATAGTTATATAAATATCGACATTTTTTGCTGCGCCACTGCTTCCATACAACCGATTACCTGTTAACTGAGAATCACCCAATCATTAAAAATAACTGTTATTATAAAAAGTTAAAACTCCATGCAAATATTTTAAGAAAATTAGAGAAGACTCCTTATATGATGTACTTCAACGCCCTTCAAGCTTTATTTGTATTTTTGTAACACCCTGTATATTGACTTCACTCGTTGTCCCCAGGTATAGGGGCGTCGTCTCCCCCCCAGTGGGGTATGATGTCCCCCCCTCCCATCCCACCGCGGCCCCCGCCCGCGGCGCCCCTACCCCCCGAGACCTCCTCTAACTCCAGTTGGGCGGAGATGGAGACATACGTCATCGGTAAGGATAAAGATAGATTATTATAGATAGCCGTAAATCCTTCGTTTCCAGATTACAGAGAGGATAATATCCCCTACCTCCGATGTCCTTTAATTAACAGGTGTCATCATCATCATCATCACCAGCCTATTAATGGCCCCACTGTTGGGGTATAGGCCTTCCCTATGGATGGAATAGGGAGATTGGGCCATGACCCACCACGCGAGCCCAGTGTGGATTGACGAGTGCTAACGACTGCAGATGCAACCGTTACCAATGGCTGGCTAATGGCTTAACGTGCCTTCCGAAGCACGGAGGAACTCGAAATAGAAGATTTTTGGTCACCCATCCAAAGGCCGGCCACTGCGAAAGTTGCTTAACTTCAACGATCGCAGCCGAACACGCTAACCACCTGCGCCATCGAGCTTACAGGTCTCATTTAATATGAGATAAACTTAACGGACTTGATAGCAGCTAGATTGGGTTAGGGTAGGAACCGTGAGAGTGATATTTCTGGTACCTATTCTATAGCCGCTTGCGATAGCCATAGCTTATAGACTCAATAGTATGTGGTGGCCGCATACCATCAGACTGGCCGTACATTGGTTTGCCTCCCTTTTAACTTAAAAAATGTCAAAAATTTCTAATGCCCTATTACCGAATAATCTATGACCGCGTAATATTATAAATTACTAGCTGTTCCAGCGAAGTTCATACCGCCATAAAAAAATAGGGGTTGGTGGTAGAAGGGTGAAAATGTAGGGTTGTATGTATTTTTGTATCGTAAAAAAATAAAAACAGAAAATTAAAAAACAAATTAAGGGTAAGATAAATAACAGATAGTATAATATTCCCTTCCTCCGATGTCCTTTAATTAACAGGTCTCATTATCATCATCACCAGCCTATTAATTAATATTAAGTTTAACCCTTAACATTTAGGGGGATGAAAAATAGATGCTGTCCAATTGTCAGACCTACTGAATACGTATATAAAATTTCACGAAAATCGGTCGAGCCGTTTCAGAGTAGTTCAATTACGCATACCGTGACACGAGAATGTTATATATTAGATTTATGTTTTAATAATATTTATTTATATTTTTCGCAGGCAATATTCAGATCCACCCGCCCACCGATGCAACCAAGCAGATGTTAATATTACGATACTTGACGCCAATGGGCGAATACCAAGAGGTGAGTCTTAAAATGTTATTTTATTCCTTTTACTTGGTCTTCTTGTGCTTTCTTAAGTATGAGAATATCATATAATAACTAGCTGACCCAGCAAACTTCGTATCGCCATAAAAATATGGGTGGTAGAAGGGTGAAAATTTAGAGCTGTATTTTTTTTTAATGCCAAATTATAAAAAAAAAATCTAAAAAAATGTTAGGGGTATAAATGTACAACCCTTATTACTTAGGGGTATGAAAAAAAGGTAGTAGCCGATTCTCAGACCTACGGAATATGCATATAAAATTTCATAAAAATCGGTCAGGCCGTTTCAGAGGAGTATGGTAACTAACATTGTGACACGAGAATTTTATATATAAGATTTGATGATTTGATGCACTGATTTTATTTATGTATTGACGTTTCGCATCCTTTGCAGGAATGCGTCGTCGGAATGAATTTCGAATTCCTAACCTATTCCTTGTTTTATTTAATGACTGATGTGCCTGGACACCCAAGAAACAAACATAATAATTTACAACTTAATTACTTTAATTATATCTTTATTTTAAAAGGATAGAGGGCTGGAATCGATCTACTTACTACACTAAACTAATCATCGTTTAAATAAAAGCTTGCTTAAAGATTTTTTTACTGGAAAGAAATATACACAGTCCAGGGGGCCAATCGCCTAACTGGATTGCTTTGGAAAACGCTATCGCTTACGATTTCATTTTGTTATTTCTAGCCGCCTGAGGTTTTCAAATGTCTCGCGCTCTTTTTTTTTTCTTTTGCATTGGTAATAACAATGTTAAAAAAAATGAGCGTGAGGTATTTGAAAACCTTCGGCGGTTAGAAATAACAAAATGAAATCGTAAGCGATAGCGTTTTCCAAAGCAATCTGGTTAGGCGATTGGCCCACAGGCAGCGTAAATACAAAAATAGATATAAACCTTTGTTATTTTCTATTTCACATATTAAACGTGAAATGATAAATGTTTAACGTTGTAAAGGTATTTTGTTTGACGTTTTGGGTTTCCCACAATGCGCTGAGATGGTGTTGCCTTGCAGCCTAACAAATACTAGAAGAAATTCGACACGTCCCTTAAGGTCGTGGTAGCATAATTAGTTACTGCATCAGCCTGGGTTCGAGTCCCGACTGCTGCCTAGACTGCGTGGATTTTATTGTACTAAAAATTTCTTTAAAAGATTGTTTACAAACCTTCTAATATATGAAATTCTCGTGTCACGGTGTGCGTAATTGAACTACTCCGAAACGGCTCGACCGATTTTCGTGAAATTTTATATGCATATTCAGTAGGTGTGAGAATCGGACAACATCTATTTTTCATCCCCCTAAATGTTAAGGGTGGTCCACCCTTAAAAAACTTTATTTTGGACAAATTTTGTTTTAATTTTTTTTATGATACGTCATACAAAAATTCATACAACCCTAAAATGGCTGTACGAAGTTCTTTGGGACAGCTAGTATAACGTTTATATTTTTTTTTTGTTTCAGTTCCTTTCACACGTGTTCGAACAAAACGCACTAGGTCTCATACTGGGATATCTAAACGTACGCGAGTCACGTGATTCCAGGTTGGCGTTCGAAGCTTTAAAATATTTAGCCGCTCTACTTTGTCACAAGAAGTTCTCGATAGATTTCATCAACATGGGTGGATTGCAGGTAAGAAACCTTATTCAGTACATTTTAGAGTTGAGATTCGATTAGATTTTCAGAGTATAGATGAGAGAGACAGCAGAGTTAACCCTGTTTGTATTTATACTGTACTATGCCCCGCGGTGTTACCCAGGCCAGGGTGTCGGCTAACTCCATACCAAATTTTATTAGAATCGCTCATCAGCTAAAAGATGTCTTGAATGGGTGTTAGGAAAAAATATGGGGCGATTCAAAAGAGCTTACAATAAAAAAAACAGCTTTCAATAAGTCAATGAGATTAAGTATAATTTCATTTCATCATTACTCTGAATCTTAAAGCCTGTGTCCAACAGTGGGAACATTAATTTGTTGAAACTTAAAAATAAGCACAAACAACTGGGCTTGTGCCCAGCTTACTCCATGGATCAATGTCTCTTTTTTCTGGTCGCTGCAGTAATGTTAATTTATTAGGTAGTGTAAATGTGTTTTTACATGTAAGGAGTTCCATAGCGCAAATGGTTAGCGCGTTCGGCTGCGATTATAGAAGTTGCAACTTTTGCAGTGGTCGGTCATTGGATGGGTGACCAAAAATTTACTATCTCGAGCTCGTCCGTGCTTTGGAAGGCACGCGACACCGTTGGTCCCGACTGCATTTGCAGTAGTTAGTACCTATCAAACCGCAAAGGGCCGTGTGATGGGTATTTCCCTATTTCATCAATAGGGAAAGCCTGTGCCCCAGCAATGTGGACATTAATAGGAGGATGATTTTTTGTTTAGGCATACTAACACACATATTCATACAATAATGATTGAATAGGATACTATACAATTTTCTTATATGCAGACCAATTATAAACATACACAACAATCACAATAATGTTAATAAACAACTTGTTACAATTTTACCAATTGACCTGATCACAAATATATATTATATTATGGATAGACTGATTGCGTTATTAGGGTATTTGACAAGTTTTAGAAAACGATCCCACGTTATTTACTAATGTTTATAGAGTTCATGTCCATAGAGAATTTATGGATATTCATCATTATGTTGTGTATTTCGGTGAAAAAACTAAATCAAAAACTCCATTTTCAAGTTGCCGCGAAAAACGTATCTCTGGACAATATGGCGTCTCACTGGTATGTGACGTCACACGACTGTCATTAAAACGTTAAACCATACAATCTAATGTCACCTTAACCGGAAGTTTACTTGCGTGTGACGTCATTTTAGGCTCCACCAATCCCAAGCGTTTTGGGGTCACGTGACAATAGACAAGAAAACTATTATCTTTATCGTTGGTTTTATAAATATTTTTTTCTGTAAAAATAGTAAAAACTTCTGCCAATATTCATTCTAAATACAGATGCTAACAATTGGCACTTTATTTTGTCAAAATGTGTGTCAAATACCCTATTTATTCAAATACATACACAAAAGAGGAACAGATTATTTATTTGTTCATTTGTTGTACCAAAGCGTTTCAGCAACTTACCCCTAAAGGAAATAAGACCATCACTAAATATATCTATGCTCGGATCTTTGGCGCCAATCTCATTATATGTCGAGTAAATTCTAGCTAGAGGTTCATGCAAACCCAAATTTGTTCGATGGCGAGGGATACAGAATATTTTTTGAATAGCTTAACGTGGATAATTGTACGGGATATTTAGCTTGATGAAATATAACTGAGCGCAAATTGTTTTGCCATTTAAATTTTTGTGAAGAAAAAATACATCAGCAATTTCGCGACGCACCCTTAAGGTGTTCATTTGATGATGATGAAAAATGTGTTTTCGCAGAAATTTCTAGAAGTGCCCCGTCCATCAGTGGCCGCTACGGGGGTGTCTATATGTTTATACTACTTGGCGTACTGCGAGGACGCCATGGAGAGAGTGTGCTTACTGCCGCGACGGACTTTAGCCGACCTTGTCAAGTGAGTGTAATGCGTTAAATCTGCCCTATATAAATATGTATACAGGGCGTCCCACGGCTACCTCACACGGAGGGAAAGTATATTAAATATTGAAGATAGGACATTTTACTGAAAGAAGACATCATTTTATTTTTAATGATAACTAGAACTGCATTCACAGATTTTTTTAAAATCGCCTGCTACAACTGGGAATCAAACTCGTAAAATTTCGAAAAAAATAACTCGGCATATTTTATGATCACCATCGAAAGGGTTAATCATAAGGACTATTTTTTGCTAAATAACATAGCATTTTAAATGAAAGGAATGTGAATTACGTGATAAAAATAATAAAGTGTTATACAAACTGTAGTACGTATGCATTTATTTTTGAACTCACAGTTACAAAGCGACTGGCAAAAAATTGTAATAATAATAATTCCAAAATGGAACACATGTCTTCTTTCAGTAAAATATCCTATCTTCAATATTTAATATACTTTCCCTACGTCTGACAAACCCGTGGGACGCCCTGTATGTGGGAGTGGCCATAGGGATTATCCATAAAGTACGTCACACGTTAAGGGGGAGGGGGGAGTTGACGTAGTGTGACATTGTGTGACAAGGGGTGGGAGGGGTCCTAAGTTTCGTGACGTCACATTTCAAAATCTGGTACTTTTTAACTTTATCAAAAAACTCTTTAAATATTAGAACTAAAGCGAATTGTGGTCATGCACCACAATGTAAGCGGTACACTTTTGAGTCGCGAGTGCCGTATCTTTCCTTTTTGTTTTAATCTAAGATTGTAGTTGCTAGAAGACTAATTCCCATTAAATATCTGTGTCCCCCTAGATTGTACAAGTACGATTAAGAACAATCCTAACTTCGTAAGGTAGTTTGACATTGTTAGTTTACTATTCGGGCTTGATCGCTCATAATGAAAATGGATGTATAATAAAAAAATAAAAAAAACAACACTCACCAATTAGCCTAGCCCCAAAGAAAGCACTGTAGGCTTGTGTTATACTATGGTAACGCATAGAATACATATTATACTGATACATGTACATGTATATGACTCCCATGACTGAAGTACAAACGCTTGTATTCATCACACAAACTTCTGCCGCCACCGGGATTCGAACCCGGGATCTCTCGAGTCGGAGACACCTTGAAACTCGGCGTACAAACCACTCGACCACGGTGGTCGTCAATAAACATGTTTAATTGGGGAATTGGTGTCATTTGCACAGTTTTTAACGGAATATGTAATATCAATGGCGTGACTTTAATTGCGTGTCGTTGTACCAATGCGGAGTCGAAGTAAGACTGAATGAAAACTGCACAAATTATGTAGAGTTTTGAATTCTACACAAGTGATGTAGAGTTTTGAATTCTGCACAATAGACATGTGTGCAGACTTTGGTTCCATAAATTTTCGAGTTATTTGTTTATTGTACGTCATTCCAAAGAACTATTCTTCTCTCGGGAGCTCGATGGCGCAAGTGGTTATCACGTTCGGCTGCGACCGTTGAAGTAAAGCAAGTTTCGCATAGGTCGGTTATTGGATGGGTGACTAAAAATTAAGTATCTCGAGCTCCTCCGTGCTTTGGAAGGTACGTTAGTCCTTGGTCCCGGCTGCATCTGTACTCGTTACCACCCACTAATCCGCTCTGGGCCCGCGTGGTGGGTCATGGCCAATCTCCCTATTTCATCCATAGGGAAGGCCTGTGAAGGTTGTTCTCGTTCTTCGATGTGGCGATCGCGAGCGGGTGATTTGAACGAGTGAATGTTTCCAGATATGCATTGTGGCTTCTAGAATGTTCGCACGACTCGGGCCGCTGCCACGCGACCATGTTCTTCGGCCTGTCATTCCAGTTCAGGGTCATATTGGAGGAGTTCGATAACCAGGTGAGAGTTTATCTTGTCTATATTTCTGTACTAATATTATTAAGAGGATTTGTTTTATGTTTATAACGAATAAATTTAAAACTACTAGCTTGTTTAAAAAAAAAACATTCAATCGAGATGTTAAATGGTACCTGGAGTATCATTTATATAATAAATTGGAAAGTAGGCATAAATCAGGGCTTAATGCCCATAGTGTAAAAAAAAAACAATTTTTTTTGCTGCATATTCTTAGGTCAACATAAGGTATCCCGCCGTAGAATTACGAACTGATTACCTAGCTTGGATGGACTTTTAGAAATCCTTGAAACAGCTAAACATAAAAAATTATTTTGAAGTTACATTATTTGGAGAACTCTTGTTCTGCTGCTTATTATTCTTGGTTTATGTTTGGGATTTAAACTTTCATTTGCACTGCAATATTGTCAATTTCTGAAGAAATGTTATTAGACCACATGTGTAATCAAATTAAAATAAATATAAAGATACTTGTTGTAAAAAGGTAATTTGTGACGTCTTTGAAAATCTTTCTTTTTACTTTTTATTTCTAGTTTCATTGTTTTTCTTGTTTAACCAATAATAATATCTAAAATAATAAATAATGTTATTTATTATACCTAATATGAACACTGAATGTATTTATGCTGTATGGTACAACAATCAAAATGTGTGAGTTCACGTTGTTGGTAGCAACATGATTTTTTTGTAAATGTTGCTACTTCTGTTAAATGCTGATGAGTTTCTTCCGCCCATTCTTCTCATCAGCTAAAAGATGTCCTGAATGGGTTGTAGGAAGGAATATTGGACGATTCAAAAGAGCTTACAATAAGTCAATAGGGTATTTGACAAGTTTTAGAAAACAATCTCACATTATTGACTAATGTTTATGGAGACCGTAAAAAGTGGATATTCATCATTCTGTTGTGTATTTCAGTAAAAATAACCAAATCAAAAACTCCATTTTCAAATTGCCGCGAAAACGTTTCTCTGGACAATATGGCTTCTTACTAGTGTGTGACGTCACACGACTGTTATTAAAACGTCAAACGATCCAATGTAATGTCACTTTAACCGGAAGTTTACTTGCGTGTGACCACGGAGGAAAAACAAAGAGGAGGTGTGGTGATTAAATTTTCTCAAGAAACGACGCGTGATAATTTGCGGGATGCGGGGTGTTCAGCTCCGCCCACTTCTCAATATTTCATCTATCGGCTAATAGCAAAACTAGCTTAGGTTGATATTTATGTTTCTACGTAGTAGTTCAGCTATCTGACACTAGATGTTCAAAAGTTTTGTATATAATTAGACGTACTCAGAACTTGAAGCTTCAAAAAAATGAAATATGTAGGTAAATAAATAAAATAAACGTTAACAAATTTGACCGATTTTAAAATTTTTAAGGTATAATTTTTATTATTTTAAAACATGTAACTGCTTGATGAAAAAAAATCCAGGCAGACCAGGCAGCAGACGGGACTCGAACCCGCACCCGCTCCCGTCTGCGGCCTGCGCCTGGTCCGCGTGGATATTTTTCTAGTTATATTTTCTTTAGATTTAAATTTTAAGGTAGTTTAAAAATAATAGACAAAATGTTATTACAAACATAATTTTATTAAAAAACATCAATTACCTGTAAATAATAGTTTTGGTTAGTTGTTGTCGGTTGTTTGCCCTATCGTTTTGTATTGTGGCAAAATGCTTAAAACGAATATCAATATATTTTTCTGCAATCGATTTCATCAGAAATACAACATGATTAACTGTAGGTGATTGGTCAAATATATGGTTGGCCGATTTTTTGAAACAATCTTGTCCAATAAGTGATTTTAATGTATTCGATACAATTTTATGTTTACGAAAGTTAGGAGTATTCAAAGATTGCGATTTAACACAACGAATACTGCCTTCGGTCCGTATACATATTTTTATGACATCTCTAGATGGGAAAGTAAGACCATCCTTAATTTTAGTTTTTATCAAATCAAGGTCACTATCGTCGTAGTTATCAGCATATAATTCTTTGAGACAGCTCTCACATTTGATCTTGGAATGTAAATATTTGACCACATACCCAGAAATACATGCTACTATTTGACGGCGCAAATAGTCACCTATAGTTGTATTTAATTGTTCATCAAATTCCAATAACATATCGTCAGGCATAGGCTCGACATCCGTGCTATCCGAAGACTCGAAACTCATTTTATTTAAAATGCGATAACGTTCTGATGTAATATTAATTTTTTGCACAGAAGATTCATTTAAAATGGAAATATCTTCTTCTTCTATGGTGTCCAATCCGGTCTATTAAGTTTTGAAATCCATTGCTGTTTTAAATTATCGTTGGATGGAAATCTAAAACGAACATGAAAATAATTAAAATTTATTTACTTGGTAAAATAATTTAATACGTATTACGGCCCTGGATATTTGTAACGTTTAAAAAGTTATTCTATATGACGACAGATGGCGGCCAGTTAGTAATATATTGATAAAATTACTGTTTTAGATACTAAAAGTTATTTAGGAATAAGTGTATAACAGTTTTCAGTATTTACGTATGATTATTACAATATACTACTGCAAAATTATACGTAAACTTGTGTATTTTCTTCCTAAAAGTGTCGCCATCTGGTGTCAAGTAGTAGAATTTTAACGCTGATAGCTGAGGCTGAGAATGTTCTAGAACTTATATATTTAATTACGTATAAAATTACTTACAAATGAAATGTGATGCCATCCATATTATCAGAACGTCTGTCTGAGTAACTTTGACATAGTAAAACACAAAACTTCATCCTTTTCTTGTTAAAAACGCAAAAAAACACTTATAATGCGAGTCTCGTTAAGTGTGCACCTGACGAACGCTGAAAGCATACTGACTTAGGCCCCGCCCACAATGATGACGTCAGGACCTAGTTGAAAATCACAGTGCACAGTTGCTTAGGCCAGCTCCTCTTTGTTTTTTCTCCGTGCGTGTGACGTTATTTTAGGCTCCACCAATCCCAAGCCTTTTGGGTCACGTGACAATAGATAAGAAAACTATTATCTTTTTCGTTAGTTTTTAGTAAAATGATTTTATATTTTTTTTGTAAAAATAGTAAAAACCCCTGCCAATATTCATTCTAAACACAGATACTAATAATTGGCACTTTAAAATACCCTATTTGAATAATAGTATAATTTCAATATTAAAAATGTGATAATCTCAACTTTGAGATCATTCTTGAGTATGATCTTGAGTATGATCTTGACATGCTCAAGATGATGCTCTCAGAGGGGAGATCTATTAATAATGGATGGGCATCAGTTTACTATAATTTGTTATAATATTTATGGTATGTGTTTGGTGATAGGACGGCCTCCGCAAACTGTACAATGTGATATCGACGCTTCCCATACTCGGGTCTGATGACGAGGAGATGCGAGTGTCGGACGACGAGACGTGCGCCGCCAGGCAGATCGTGAGGCACGTATGCGTCGCACTTAGAAGGTATGTATCGAATATCGTGTGATATATATAGACTATACTAGTATAATGTGATATCGATCGATTTTATCGAGAACTCGTCGATCGGCCGATAGACTAGTTTAGAGTACGAGTCAACGATATTAAATACCCTAGATACACCACAAGCGCTCAAAATGTGTCCCGATCAAGAAGTGCTTGAACACCACTAAAGCACTTCTTGGTTCACAGTCACGCGCGGACCGTTGAAAAGTCAAGATGCCGCGGAGCTCCGTGAAAAAATGCGAAAATAATACTTATAGTACGTAAAGTGTCGTTTTTTCGACCTAATGGATGTTTGTTAATTTAACGCATTTGAAGCAAATTTTGTTCTAATACTTACTATAAACTGATTTAATATAAAATATTTGTGATATTCAAATGCATGGTCGGTTATACGCCACCATATAGCCTTCTCTTTTCCTGGCGGTCCGTGCCTGCTATATTGCTAATAGCGCGTTCAGAATTGTGCGTAGAGTCAAAGAATTAAGGTCTAAATTTTTTCGTATATAGCAATAAGTCGTAAAATTTTACGAGCTTGCATTTCGAACTGTTAGTCCTTGACGCATGCGTTTTATTTAAGACCTTATACAGTATGTAGGTTACTTTCAATATTTAAATAATGCCTTATATTGATTTTGACTACGCGATTATCTTACGGAGCTCAGTGGATCGTTCAAGTACCTTTTGTACAGGTTTCGGGCACGATTTTGTTCGTGTTGGTGTATCTAGGGTATTTAATATCGTTGGTACGAGTAGAGTAAGAGTTTATAGTATTCGGGTAGTTTTTGGTTTGGCTACCCTTCACTGTCTACCAGCCCATATTCCAGTGTAAATATTGCTTCGGGTGCCCGAATTCGAGTAATGTTTTTCGTGCACTCGAATACGGGCTAACGATCATGTGTTATTGAGCCATAAAAGCCGGTTGTTACACCTTCACGTAGCCCTCACCCTGCGGGAGTCAGCCCAAGGACTGACTCAACGGCTTCTTGAGAGGGCGGAATCCTACCCACTAAAAACCTGACGATGCCCCTCACCTCACAGATAGGCCGTGGCTTCGTCGGGCGACAGATTCGCCGCCCCACAAGGCAATGGCACTATAGTCGTGGCACGCTATGATCGTCGTGTTGACACATTGCCAATACTGACGAGAAAATTCAATTTATTATCGAAAAAAAACTAATATAATCAAACGACACATCTACGTATTTAAAAAATTAAAATTTTTACCAATATTGCAAGAAGTTGCTGATTACAAGGCTTAATAATAAGTTGACTTTGTTGACTTTGTTTTATATTATGTAAAAATCATGCGTGATAAAACGCCGAATAAATATAACCTTTACTTAATATGTTTGTCGCCAGATATCTAGAAGCGCACTTGAGGCTTCGGTCCGCGCAAGTGGCGAGGCAGCAAGGCGACACAGTACCGGAACCACCGCCCTACAAGGTAACTTAACGATAAATAATAATATTTTTATGTAGGATATGCATATGATATTAAAAATACCTTAGCTACACCACGTGCACTCAAAATGTGTCCCAATCAAGAAGTGCTTGAACTCCACTCAAGCACTTCTTGGTTCACAGTCACGCGCGGAACATTGAAAAGTCAACATGCCGCTGAGCTCCATGAATAACTGCAAAAAAATACTTATAGTTCGTAGTGTCGTTTTTTCGACAAGTATCTAATCAATGTTTCATCATTTAGCGCATTTGAAGCAATTTTTTTTCTAATCGTTACTATAAAATTATTTAATAGAAAATCTTTGTAATATTCAAATGCATGGTCGGTTATATAGCCGTCTTTTTTTCTCGCCGTCCGTATCTGTTATATTTCTAACAGCGTCTTCAGAATTGCGCGTAGAGTCAAAGAAATAAGGTTTATATTCTTCCGCATATAGCAATAAGTCGTAAAATTTTACGAGCTTGCATTTCGAATTGTCATAACTCTTGGACGCGTGCGTTTTAAGTAAGACCTTACACAGTATGCATTAAAGGTGACTTTTAATGTTTAAATAATGCAATATATTGTTTTTGATAAGGCGATCATCTTACGGAGCTCCGTGGATCATCCAACATACCTTTTGGACAGGTTTCGGCCACGATTTTGTTCGTGTTAGATACAACATCTAGGGTATTTAATATCGTTGAGTGAAAACAGAAGTGTGTGATTGAGATGTATGCGAGGTGGAGGACGAAAGGATCATTCTTTTTAATAGTACAGGCGCCGTACAAAGATTTTTTATATGCGAACCAGTACTACTTCATGTCGGCATTGCACTTGGTTATTCGTATTTGCTATTCGTCAGCATGACAACAGCCTGTCCTTATCATGCTATATAAAAAATGAAAAAGGCAGACTGATGTCAAGTTTACGAATAGCCCAGCGAAGTGCCGGTATTTCCTCTGATTAGCGCTTTTTACAAACTAACCAAACAAACAAATACGTATTTTTGTGTGATGAATACGAGCATTTGGACTCCAGCCATGAATGTTTAATATGTATTTCTATATAAATACAAACTTATATTTGTACAGTATGTATTCTATCCGTTTGGGGCTAGGCTAATTGGTGTGTGTTGGAAATATTTATTATTATTATTTGACTCTGTGGGTTACCTACAATGCGAAGAGATGGCGCTGCCTTCCAGCTTAAGCAGGGCTAGCGGAAATTCTACACGGCCCGCAGCCGCGGTAGCATAATGGTCATTGCATTCGCACGGATAGCGAAGGGTGCGGGTTCGAGTTCCGTCTGCGTGGTCAGCGTGTATATTTTTCTAGTTAAAATTTTCCTCAAAATACTTTTTATTGAGGAGCTCGATGTCGCAGGTGGTTAGCGCGTTCGGCTGCGGTCGTTGAAGTTAAGCAACTTTCGCAGTGATCGGTCATTGGATGGGTCATTGGATCTTGTATCTCTAGTTCCTCCGTGCTTTGGAAGGCACGTTAAAGCCGTTGGTCCCGGCTGCATCTGTAGTCGTTAGCACCCACCTATCCGCACTGGGCCCGCGTGGTGGATCATGGCCTAATCTCCCTATTCCATCCTGGGAAGGCCCATGCCCCAGCAGTGGGGCATTAATAGGCTGATGATGATGATGAATTTTTTTTTTTTAATTACTATTGTTTGATTTTTTCCGTCAACCAGGCATCGAAGTCGTCCCCCGAAGAGATCCAGGAACAGATCGAACTGCTTGCTGGCGTTGCGTGGTCCCGCTGGCCGCCCGTCGACGAACTGGTGGAACTCGGCGGAGTCACATTGTTGCTGCAGGTGGTGGGGTTCGCTTACGAGTGGAACTTTAATGGCAGGTAATGAGAAACATTGTTTATAATTTAGATTTTTTAAGCATGTAACTGCTCGATGTTAAAATCTAAAAAAAAAAAATAACTAAAGAAAATATAACTAGAAAAAATTCAACGCGAACCAGGCATCAGACGGGACTCGAACCCGCACCCTTCGCAATCCGGGCGAATGCACTGACCAATTATGCTACCGCGGCCCTCACGGACCGCGTCGAAATTCCTCTAGCCATTCTTAAGCTGCAAGGCAGCGCCATCTCTTCGCATTATAGGTAACCCACAATGTCAAATGAACACTTTTACAAGCATTAAACATTTGAAAGAAGAAATAAAATTATAAAAAATATCTAGAAAAAATTCCACGCGGACCAGGTAGCAGACGGCACTCGAACCCGCACCTTTCGCTATCCGGGCGAATGCACTGAACAATTATGCTACCGCGCCCCTGACGGCCGCGTCGAAATTCTTCTAGCCATTCTTAAGCTGCAAGGCTGCCTGATCCGCGTGAATTTTTTTCTAGTTATATTTTCTTAACATTGATTATGATTTATTTTCAAATTTTACAGCTATTTTATAGAGAACTAACAAATTTTTATTGATATTTTACTAGATTAGTAGCCCTAAATTCACTAGTTACCTGCCATTGAAGTTGTACTCTTACAAAAAAGCTCCTAAATGTAATAGTAGCGTTTCAGGATTTCGTAATCGCATCGCATCGTCAGTTTCTATGAAAACTAAGCAGTGCCCCTTACGGACAAACTAGCTTTTTCCATTCAAACTGTGGCGATGACGATACGATTACGGAGCTGTTCGTGATTGGGCGTCAGGACTACATTCTGAAATGCTGCTAATAGAATTAATCGTCAATATTATCAAAATTAATCATCGTTTAACAAAAATCAGAATCAAAAAAATAGAAAGCTTCTTTCCTCTCACCTTGGCAAGGCACTTTCGTGGTAGTTACCTAGTCAATTGGGGTTTAAAATCTATCCCAATCAGATGGAATTGCTTGCTGGCATGGCGTGGTCCCTTGTAGATCTAAATAGAAGACCCTGAAATGCTGCTATTGCAAGTGTATTCAATGGCAGGTAACTTAAAAAAAATGTGGATTAAATTGTTAAGACTAAACCCTGAAACGCCGATATTACAAGTAGTGAGGTTTTTTGAACTTTCGCAGTAGTCGGTCATTGGATAGGTGACCAAAAATTTACTATTTCGAGCTCCTCCGTGCTTCGGAAGGCACTTTCAGCCGTTGGTCCCGGCTGCATCTGCAGTCGTTAGCACCCACGAATTCGCACTTTGCCCGCGTGGTGGGTCATGGCCCAATCTCCCTATTCCATTCATAGGGAAGGCCTGTGCCCCAGCAGTGGGGACATTAATAGGCTGATGATGATGACGATGATGATATTTTTGTTTCAGGTCGGAAACAGTGAAATCAGCCTTGGACGTGATCTCGATATGCTGCGTGGCTCCAAGAGTGCAGCTACTCCTCACAGAAAAGGTGGATATGAGGGACGCGGAGCTAACTACCGGCGTCAACATTGTACTGGGTGAGGGAACGACCATTAGGAAATTTTAAATCTAGCATAAACTCGGCCTTTGTTTACAAGTCTAGACATTTTAGTAATAAAATTAAAAAACCTGTATCAGTGGTGCCGGATGCGTAAAAGAAATACTGATATTTGTTTCTTAGGTTTTCACGCACATCACTCATTAAATAAAACTAGTTTTTAACAGGTTAATGCACGAAACTTTATTTGTTTATTGACGATTCACAGCCTTTTCAGGTCTGCGTCGTCAGAATACTGATTTTTTATTTAATTTTGTCGAGAAATACTGATATTACATTTCCTATGTACTTTTCGTTAGGTAAATACTAAACTTATTAATAAACGGAGACTACGCTTGGATTAGTCACTTCATGTTTTATCTCTGTCTATTGAATGACAAATGGCATTTGAGTGACATGAACAAAACACAGGGCAACTAGTCTATACTTATTCCTTGTTTATTTAATAAGGGGTTAAATAGCCACACTAAATCCGAAGAGAATTATAAAAGTCTGGCAAATGGTGACTACATATTGTGAAAAATTCTTTCTCAAGTCCGCACATAAATGAAAAAGTACTATAAATATGATTGTATGTTTTTTCAGCTTTTTAAAAGAGTCTTTTGCAGAGCTAGCGAGCAGATAAATAACTATAATTGCTATTTCTTCTTTCAAATGTTTAATACTTGTAAAGGTATTCATTTGACATTGTGGGTTACCTACAATGCGAAGAGATGGCGCTGCCTTGCAGCCTAACGCTAGAGAAAACTCGACATTGCCATCAGGGCCGCGGTAGCATAATGGTCAGTGCATTCGCCTGGATAGCAAAGGGTTCGAGTCCCGTCGTATAATTTTCTTTACAGATAAATAACCATTAAAATGACATCTGTATATACATACAGTATCTAGAGATCAAGTACGAATCATACGTAATTGATTTACAAAAACTGCATTTTTTTTTATTGTTTACCAAATATAAGGGTTCATTAATAACTCATACATAGGAATTAAGAAAAAATCAAATCCGAAAGACTTGGATTTGATTGGATATTATTTTATTGTAAAATATTTAATGCATCTCTAGCCACTTTTGATGAGTATATTGAACTTTTAAATCATAGTGGTGTCGATAGTGATCTGATAAATGAGTATAAATTGTTACATTTTTTATTTCTTAAGCGTTTATTAACTGCTAGATGTTTAAAGTATAAATTGTTCACTAGGAGCGGCAGACGGTGAAATAGTTGCCGAGCCAGAGGTACAGAAGGCGGCGCTTAATGTTCTAGTCAACTGCGTCTGCGCACCCGTGCACAGAGTCAGTGTGTAGATATTACATAATTTGTTACTAATAGTTTTAAATAAATAAATAAAAAAACATTCACGTTCACTAAAGTTAAACCTGGTATAAAGATGATACTGCTTTTTCTAGCTGTTTTTAAGACAGATATAAAGTTTTTCGAGGAACCTTGATTAGCGCGTTCGGCTGCGATCGATGAAGTTAAGCAACTTTCGCAGTGATCGGTCATTGGATGGGTGACAAAAAATTTACTATCTCGACCTCCTTCGTGCTTCGGAAGGCACGTTAAGCCGTTGGTCCCAATCCGCACTGGGCCCGCGTGGTGGGTCATGGCCCAATCTCCCTATTCCAGCCATAGGGTAGGTCTGTACCCCAGCAGCGGGGACATTAATAGGCTGATGATGATAAAGATTTGACCCCCTTATTCCAAAACGCGATGTTATCTCCTTTGTAGGAAACAAAAGTGACAGCTTCAGTTTTACTCCAGGTTTAACTTTAGTCTATGTTTTGATATAAGGCGGTTTAGGTTAAAACAAATCAAAACTTTATTTTTTTTGTAATTATTGACTACACATTAAAATAATTTGTAGTTTGTTTTAGTTGAATCACAAATAACTAATAGTCGCAGAATAAAAGAAAAGGTTCTTTAGTCCTCAAATCGATTCTTATAACGTGCTGTGAATATATAATGAGGAGATGGCGAACAAAACTGGATATTTGACATGATTTAGAAAACGATCTCACGTTATTTACTAATGTTTATGAAGTCCATAAAAGTGGATATTTTTAAATTTGTTGTGTTATTCAGTAATAAAAATTTAAATTAAAAAATTTTTTTTGAAGTTTCCGCGAAAACCCGAGATGCTCTGGACATCATGGCGTTTCACTAGTGTGTGACTTCACACGACTCGTTAAAACGTCAAACGATACAATGTAATGTCACTTTGGCCAGAAGTATACTAGCGTGTGACGTCATTTCGTTTGGAGCGCAAAAAATAATTACTATTTGATGATTTTATAGAAAAGTTATTAATTATTTCTTCCTTCAGAATGGTAAAATTGCTGCTAAAATTCATATTAAATACAGATGCCATCAATTGGTACATTATTTTCCATACTGTCGAATAACCTATTATGCATCTAGTCAAAATACTCTTTTTATACAGTACATAGGTTTTGGGCCCGTTGAATTCGAATCTCGACTCATTTTCAACCATAACAGCTAAAAATAGTGTTGAAATTAATAAATTAAAAACCACGCCGAAAGCTCACTGTAAAGATGTGTAAAATTATACCATTTTGTTCGCCAATTCGTCATATTATGTTATGAAAATTTATGCTTTACCTCAACATTATGAAAATCTATTTTGAGTGTTACTATCGCAGGCAGGCTCGTCTACGTCTCGCTTCTCGCTCACCGGCTCTAGTAAGAAGAAGACAGCGCTAAAATCTTACGAGGACGTGATACAGAAAGTGTGGGAGAGCGTGCGGACGAATAACGGCATTATGGTGAGATTTTATTCATAAACTAGCGGCCGCCCGCGACTTTGTACGCGTGGAGTTAATTAGAAATAAACGTTCACTCCTCGTTCCCCGTACGTGATAGCGTGATAACTTGTAGCCTATATGTTGACCCGACTTTTTAATAATATACTTGCCAAATTTGAAGTAAATCCATAATGTACTTTATTAAATACACGTATTATACCTTGGTGTTTAACGAGGGGTGGTTAGCGCGTTTGGCTGCGATCGTTGAAGTTAAGCAACTTTCGCAGTAGTCGGTCACTGGATGGGTGTTCAAAAAAAAATTACTATCTCAAACTCCGCCGTACTTCGGAAGGCACTTTAAGCCGTTTGTCCCGCGTGGTGGGTCATGGCTCAATCTCCCTATTCCATCCATAGAGAAAGCCTGTGCCCCAGCAGTGGGAACGTTAATAGGCTGATGATGATGATGATAAATTTCTCTAGGTATTACTGTCGCTTATGATGGTGAAATCGCCTATAACGGACGCGGATCGACTAAGAGGCTTGGCTTGCAGAGCTCTCGCCGGCTTAGCGAGATGTCCCACAGTACGACAGATCATATCGAAACTACCTCTATTCACTACTTCGCAGATGCAAGGTATTTTGATCCTTATAATAATAATAATAATAAAGCCTTTTTATTTATTTTGGAAAAGTTGTTAGTTGCATTCTTGATTGTTATGTTAGTAGTATTATAATTTTTATTTTTTAAAGCATGTAACTGCTTGACTATAATTCTTCTAGCCATTCTTAAGCTGCAAGGCAGCGCCATCAAGGCATTGTGGGTTACCTGTAATGCGAAGAGATGGCGCTGCCTTGCAACTTAAGAATGGCTAGAAGTATTTCGACGCGGTCCGTGAGGGCCGCGGTAGCATAATAGGTCAGTGCATTCACCCGTATTGCAAGGGGTGCGGGTTCGAGTCCCGTCTGCTGCCTGGTCCGCGTGGAATTTTTCCTAGTTATATTTTCTTTGGTAGTATTAGTTTTTATTTAGATACATGGATCCCTCTTTGGGTGAAGGCCTCCTCCAGTTTCTCCCATTCTTTCCTATCTTGAGCTGATTTCGTCCAGTGAATGTTTGCTGTTTGTATAATATCATCACTCCAACGTATATATGGTCTTTCAATTTTCCTTTTTCCGTGTGGTCCTCTCCATTCTGTAATTTTCTTGGTCCACCTTTTCAAAAATTAGAGATAAAAGCTAAAGTCATATGGACCTGGACAGAATGACAACTAAGTGTTGATCTTTACTTGAGAACAGTTAGAAAGGGATATCGCTATATATAGCGACATCCCTTTCTAACTATGCTCAAGACTAGATCAATCACTGAGAATCTTTCTATTATACAGGCTTAAGGCTGCTGACGCTCTAACCTATGCACTCAAACTGAAGTGGAAATGGGCTGGCCATGTTGCTCGTCTATCAGATGGAAGGTGGACCAAGAAAATTTTGATCCTTATTTACTTGTAATTAAGAGATATTTACTCGAAGATTAAAGCTAATATCTCTTTTTATTTAAGTTAAGAAACGTCGTTTAAATTGCCTCTATGCGACAACTCACAGATGCAAGGTCTAATGACCTAGAGGTCAATAAGGTAATAGAGCCACCTTAGTGTTAAGAAAGGTGTTGGTTTTGGAAAAAGAATCCGGCTCGAAGGACCAAGATGTCGATGATGAAAGTGATGAAAGTCTTTAGTCCTCGGATCCCTGCTGTGTACTGTATGTAGGTTTCCGGATTCAAAACGCTGGCTGTCGCTTTACAACTTCCTTTATTTTTCTGACTAGTTGTTCACACGATGATTGTTTTTGGCAGACTACTAATTGCCTTACAAATGTTTCGTCTTATATGATAATTTGGCTCCGGTTGTCCGGGTGCGTCGATCACTTTAATGCGCGTCCCTAAAAAGTACGCCTTCTGATTGGCGGTCCATTACGCGACTATCCCCCGTTCGCATAATGCCCAGCACCTCTCTGACGCCCGTAAAGTAGGCCTTGTGATTGGTCGGCACGTTTTTCTCTCGGGTCGGTGCACGGCTGTCGTGCTTCCCGATTTCCCTTAAAACTGCCTGAAGTAATACTGTACTGCCGAATTAGCGAGATGTCTCACAGTACGAGATATTATATCTAAGCTGCCTGTATTCACTACATCACAGTTGCAAGGTATTTTCACCTTTATATCCTTGTCAATAAGAAAAGATTTCGCTTGAATCTACCTGTAGAAATATATTTTATTCCTTTAATGTCTAAGATCATATCGAGACTATTTCTATTGACCACGGCAAAGATGCTAGAGATTATCATGTATATTAATTTACTTGATATTAAGAGAAAATTTCGTTTAAATAAGCCTGAAGAGACTTACTATACTGCCGGCTTAATGGGATGTTCCACAGTACGGTAGATTATAACGAACCAGCCTCTATTCATTACATCTTAGATGCCAAGGTATTTTGACTTTTATCACTAGTGTTACTACAATAGTGTTAAGAAGGGATTTCCCTTGAAACTGTCTGAAAAAATTGCATGCTTAGCTAACAGTCCCACTACACAACAGATCATGACTAAAATTTCTGTTTATCACGTCACAGCTGCAAGGTATATTGACCTCTATGACTAATCTTAAGAAGGAATTTTGCTTGAATTTGCCTGTAAAAATAGCATTACACAACTTCTATAGCAAATGAAGAATTTGTGTTATCGAATAAATCGATTCGTCTTACACGATAATTCGTAAAAAATGTTAAAACATTCATGTCTTTTTTGGTTGATTGACAAAAGAAAAAAAATATGTATTTTTTATTTTTATTGATAGGTCCGACAAATGACTCCACCCCACCTGATGTTAAGTGAAGGTGAAGTCATTTGGACTTGGTGTTTTAATTGAAAGTTCACTTCATTTTTTTGCGATGTTTGTTAAAAAAGAAGCTTATGATGGGTCAGGACAGGAATCAAATACGCTGATAGAAATTGTTTTCCGAAACTTTTTTAACAGTATGAATAATAATGTATTCATTTTTGGCATCTGTAAGTACGTTATTTAAGCAGCGATTTTACTATTCTCTATGATATGATAAATAACTTTTCTTTAAAATCATTAAAAAAGTTTGTTTCGCTCCATGGTCACGTGACCGAACACGCCTGAGATTGGCCAAGACTAAAATGACGTCACACGCTAGTAAGCTTCCGGCCAAAGTGACATTACATTGTATCGTTTGAAGTTTTGATGGCAGTCTTGTGACGTCACACACTAGTGAGACGCCATAATGTCCAAAGAAACGTTTCGCCGCAAATTGAAAATTCAATTTTTGATTTTGATATTTTTTACTGAATTACATAACAGAATAAAAAATGTCGTTTAATAATATTTTTCATGGATTCCACAAACATTAGTAAATGATCTGAGATATTTTCTAAAACTTGTCAAATAGTCTAGTTTATAATGATTTCCTTTTCACCGTGTTAATTTATTTACTTAATACATGGTTCTGTTTTAAATTGTAAACAAGCACCAAACTTGTTTCAAATAATATTTTTTCTCTTTTAGTGTTGATGCGCGATCCAATACTGCAAGAGAAGCGGCAGGAACACGTCATGTTCCAAAAGTACGCACTAGAACTGTTGGAACGGGTCTCGGGCAAGAGCAAACACATGGGTACCGAGTTCGAGACCTCGCTGGCTAACATTCACAAGGTAGGGGAATCTGGGAACTTTAACAATTAATTGCGGGCAAACAAAACGTTATCTTATATATAAAATTCTCGTGTCACAATGTTAGTTACCATACTCCTCCGAAACGGCATGACCGATTTTTATGAAATTTTATATGCATATTCCGTGGGTCTGAGAATCGGTTACTATCTATTTTTTATATCCTTAAGTGATAATGGTTGTCCACCTGTAACGTAGTGTTCTGAAACCTATGTGCCTTCGCGCCAAAAACTATTGGGTATTGTAACGTAGTGTTCTCATATGAGTTAGGAGGAATGTTATCCCAGGAAATGGATAGAACACTGCATTACACACCCCCAAAATTTTTTTGGACAAAATTTATTTTTTTATAATGAGGTATTAAAAAATACATACAGCCCTAAATTTTCTCTTCTACCACCTGCCCCTATTTTTATGGCGGTACGATGTTCGCTGGGTCAGCTAGTAATTACATAAAATTAAATTTTACAGGAGCTGTACAAAACTGAATGTAATACCTACAGTAAGCTTTTGGCATAGTTTTTAATATATAAATTTAGTAATTTTAACACTGTTTTAGGTGGTTTTGATTGAAAATTATTTGAGATTCAAATTCAACGGGCCCGAAACCTCCGGACTGTAAAAAAAAGTAGTTTGACCAGATGCGTAATTATACCGTTTTGTTCGCCAGCTCCTCAATTGTTAGTCGATCTAAATAATAGACTTTTGATGATATGTTCTAATACCCACAGTATTTTGTTCATTTTCCAACCATCGACTTGAGAAAACATCCAATGAAATTAACCATTGGTTGATAATATTCTTTAAACAGAGTTTTATCAAATAAACTTAGATTAAGATACAGCACTCGCAGCTCAAAAGTGATCCGCTTAAATTGTTGTGCATGACCATACGTGTGTGAGAGTTGCTAAGGTAGTTGAGTCGGATCATATGTTATTTGATGTTAGTATGAGCGTACCGTATCTGCCCTTTTTGTTTTAATTTAAGCAAATAAATGAAGCGGTGCCATCGATGAAGCGAACCTTATTAAAACATTATTTTAACTCATTGCCGATTTTTGATACTCGGATAAAACTTAAGTGTTCAATAAATTAATACTCTCATCAAATAGAGAAAGGTGTCATCCGTCACATTACACCAAATAACACATGTCAACTTTTTAATTTGTCCGTATAATACGATATCAGACTGATGAATTTCATCCAGTGGTCAAGAAATCAGACCTAATAATGTTATTACTATAATTTTATTTTTTACTATTTTTTTATGGAAACACTAACCAAAAAGCGAATGTAGTAGCCCCGACTACTGTATCTTAATTCTCTCTGCCCACCCTATCTGGGCGAGTCCCAGTGAAGAGAGTGTGAAGAGAAATATATAGATAGTTTTTTAGTTTATTCGTTACAAACAAATATTTCCTCTTTATCATATTAGTATGTAGATATAGATGTAGTTATCCGTAATACAGGCTAACGTAGTAGCCCAGACCCTCATCATCATCGGCGGCATATGAGAGAGGCGTGGTTACCGTCTCCGCCTTATATGTATATCTATCTAGCTATGTTATATAAGTAAAAATGAATTGCCTTAATTTATAACTTTAGAAATGTGAAAAACTATTTTTTTGGCTTATTGTTCTTCGTCAGGGCAAGGTTTTTATGAAAGATATTTTTGAAAACTTCATCAGAAACCGTCAGAAATTATGGACATTAAGATATGATGATTTTGTGTTAAAATCTCAATTTCTCTTTAATATAATGCACTCGTGCAAAGCCTCCCGGCTAAAGCTAGTAAATAATACGACCTCCGTGGCCAAGTGGTTTATACGCTGGGTTTCATGGTGTCGCCGACTCAAGAGGTCCCTCCCGGGTTCGAATCCCGGTGGGGGCAAGATGTTTGTGTGATGAATACGAGCATTTGTACTCCAGTCATGGATGTTGTTTAATGTGTATTTCTGTATAAATATACTTACATATGTACAGTATATGTATTATATCCGTTATCCTTTTTTTTTTGTCGATGGGAAATGCATTTACGCGCCGTACCGCGCGCTGGCTGGGTGCGCGGCGTGTGTGGGACTCCCCGACGCGGAACAACGCCGGTCCTACCCACTAAAACCCACCGGTACCCTCCTACGCCCATGTGGGAGCGTTTCAGAATCGGCGCACATGTGCGCCACTTCACTGGAACGCTCCCGGGCCAGCCCGGTCCAACGAGTGGACCGGGCGACACGCCTCTGGGGGATTGCGCTAGGGTACTAGGCAATCCCCAGACGGGGTGGCCCATGCCAAGCAGCCCATAACACAAGCCCTACAGTGCTTAACTTTGGGGCTAGGCTAGTGAGTGTGACTGTTGGAAAATATTTATTATTATTATTATAATTAGTGGCGGAATATCAGTGGGCCAGAGGGCTAACACAGTCCACGGACACGTTGAGGAGGGAGGCGGGGTTATCTACCTTCCCCGCTCAATATATATATACTAGTTGTGCCCTGCGGTTTAATCCTTGTTAAATTGTGGAAAAGAGTTAAGTTAGTCAACCTGAAAATATAGACATATTTTGCTGTCCCAGACTTTTTTCGAGAACTTTGAATTTATGCCGGTATCAATTTCTCTTTAATATAATGCACTCGTGCAAAGTCGGGAGGTTCGCTAGTGTATAATATAAGATGTACTTATACAATATATGTATATATTTTCGACCAGGCTAACGTAGTAGCCCAGACCCGAATCAACTACAACGAGCGGCAACTGCTCCAATTAGTGGCGGAACATCTGTGGGCCAGAGGGCTGACTCAGTCCGCGGACACATTGAGGAGGGAGGCGGGGTTGCCGTCTCCTCCCTCCGCTAACGCTTCCCCGCCTCCGCCTCCGCCGCCGCCTGTGTACACGCCCCATGCGCCTTCAAGGGTGAGTCAACTTTCATAATAATAATAATAAAAATAATATTCTTTATTGTTATACACCATACAAGACACACAAGTAAATTAAAAACATGATAGAGAGACAGACTTTTATTTAGCGTTCGGATATTTCATTGAAATAAAAGTCTTTCGAAGGTAGCTCGACAAAGTAATTAAAAAATCATTATTCTGACGACGCATTCCTGCAAAGGCTGCGAAACGTCAATAAATAAATAAAATCAGTACATCTAACCCGTTGAAACTTGTTTTATTTACTGGTGGATTATCTTATTTTTATAAAATTTCGTCCAGTATCTTTCATTATGATAATATGTGGAATCCATTAACCATCGCGTCGTCTCTTTCTTCAGCCTCGGTTGTCGGTGTCTCGCACAAGCAGCGGGGGCTCGTTACATCGCGACAGTTTGGATACGAGCCATCATGCAGACGAGAGTAGCCCGCTACCTCACGTCATCAAACTTAGGTATGTATGTGTAATAAATAAATCTGTCTTCTCTTACTTTCAGTTGGAAATGAATTTATGTCACAACTCAACCGTACACATTTATCTATATTTATTAAGTTAACAATAGGCAATTTATTTATTTATTTATACATATTGTTACACACATATAAATAGACAGAAATTACAAAATATGATAGTAGTACTAGGGCACAGCTTATTACAATCTGAAAGGACATTGGGAAAAAATGTATGGACGCTGCACCCACGTTCGCCACGGCTTAAACTACATTTGTTTGAAAGGTATTATAGTCGAGATCATCTGTACCAAAGCGCATCAAATTCCATCCCGGGGGCCTTTAGTTATTTTAAGTTAAATTTGTACAAGTACTATAACGAACGAACATTAATGAAACAAGGGAATTAATTTAGTTAGTTAGTTCGACCCTACAAAGGGTGCTCAGGAATTATGGGAGTACTTCACAAGGTGCAAGGTTTGTTATGTTATTGTGCCGCGCTAGAGTAAATCCAAAAAGCCCCGCTTGGGTTGCTTTTTTTTAAACCATCTGTTCGTTATAGTAAATTATCTTCATCAGTAAAACGGAGCGACGATAGATTACACAAACTTGCCCACGCTTTGGAGAACACATGACTCCAGTTCCTAATTGACAAAACCGATAATCGTATTCCAATATCCAAAGCGTGTTAGATAAAAATCAATCAAGTAGCAGGGAGCGCACAAGCACAACGAAGTAAGACGAGTCGACTATTTGCAACTGCAAGTCTGATGGACATGCTGGTTCTATAAACCGTTTTGAAATGTCTCAGTAAGAGCAAGCATGGATGGTCGACAGGCTTTGTCGTATATTTGGTTGTATAGTACGATATGGCATATAATTATGATTACTGATAATATAAAATGAAGGTACCTACTATAAAATGAATTAATTCAGCTACTTAAATATGCCCATGTGTCATATTTATTGACTACCAGGATATTTTTTACGGTGTCATAAAAAAAGGATAGTTTTTCATAGATCTATCTATTCATACTAATTACATTATTGGCGGAGCTGGGTGCATTTTGCCCATTGTCCTTTCTCCCAGCAGGCCCATTGTAGGAAAGCACATTGAAAAGACATTTGACAATATGAAAAATATAGTATTAATTGTTGGCATCTGTATTAAATATGAATATTACCAGTGATTATACTATTCTGGGTGAACAAACAATTATTATTTTTTCTAAAAAATCATTCAAAATTACTTTTTGTTATATGGTCACGTGACTCCTAAGATTCGCGAAGACAAATATGACATCACACGCTAGTAAACTTCCGGTCAAAATGACATAACATTGTATCGTTTAACGTTTTAATGACAGTCGTGTGACGTCACATACCAGTATGTTATACGTAATAATGTCCATAGAAACGTTTTTGCGGCAACTTGGAAATGCCATTTTTTATTTAATTTTTTTATACAGAAATACACAGCCTGCATTATGAATATCGGCTGCCCGCGACTTCGTCCGCGTTAACTTTGTTATATTCTCTAAAATAAAAGATTTTTTCTAAAATAAAAATAGCCTAAGATACTCCTTATTATATCAGCTACCTGCCAATAAAAATACAGAGATTAGCCGGAACAAACAGACAGACAGACAAAAATTGTAAAAAATGTTATTTTGTTGTATGTACCGTATATATACGTACATATGCATGTAGTAAAAAGCGGTTATTTCAATATTACAAACAGACACTCTAATTTTATTTATATGTATAGATAAAAACAATGCACAAGTTAAAAAGCGTTAACGTGCACACGCGCATGCATAGGAAATATAACGTCTATTGGAAGCATAAGAAATAACGCAGGAAAAAGCAGTCATGCGAAGTTACCTTACACCCTAAAAAGGCTTGACATTTTGGTGCTTACGTTGTTGACAAACTGTTAGTAATAAGTTATAATTTTATAAATATTACTTACTTTTTTGAGTTAACATTATTTGGGAAAACATTTTTTTTTATCTTTCTAATAAATAAAATTCTCTTGTCACAATGTTAGTCTCCATACTCCTCTGAAACGGCTTGACCGATTTTTATGAAATATTTAAAGCATATTCAGTAAGTCGGTTACTATCTATTTTTCATACCCCTAAGTGATAAGGGTTGTCCACCATTAACATTTTATTTATTTATTAAGGATCACCAGTGAATGATACAAAGAATAATTAACATCTAACACAATTTCACAAAACAAGAAACAGTGTACATTCTATTTAAGGCGACCACAACAAGCAATATATAAGCAGAAATGATTTTAAAAAAATTACATTATTCATCTTAATTAACAAAAGCATAAAAATTAAATTTAAATTGAGTTTACACAAATACAGGAATACATAACATTCATTAAAGTAAATTGAAATGCATTAAATTATTTTAATTAAATTTAAAGACATTACATTTATTGAATTAAATTGAAATAAATTATTGAATTAAATTGCAATACATTACATTTATTAAATCAAATTGGAATAAATTGCATTATTTATTTTCCATTTTATCTTTATCTTTTGGACAAAAGTTTATTTTTTATTTTTATATAATGTGGCATTAAAGAATACATACAACTCAACTTTCACCCTTTTACCAGCCCCTATTTTTATGGTGGAACGAAGTTCGCTAGATCTGCTAGTAAATTTATAACTTATAAACACGGTTGCACATGAAATTTCTTTTTGTCTGTAAATAATATGGGTTTTTAAGAAAAAATACGCTAGCTAGCGCCAGTGTAGACTCCTTATTAATAAACGAGGGAATAAGCGTCGACTAGTTACGCCGTGATTTGTTCATATCACTCAAATGCCATTTTTTAATTCGATGAACTGATACAAAACATGCAGTAACTAATCCCAGCTTATTCTTTGTTTATTAACGCGTCGGTCGCGGCTGCATATACATTCCCAATTATGGCCCATTCTCCCTATGCTATCTGCTTCTTGAATTGGAGCTGTGTAGTCTCAAAGAAACATTGTCATAACTCAAATCACCATTGTGTTTGTATTTTGGGAAAAGCCAATGGTTAATTTATAACTCTGCTCAGCTCCCCAACGCAGCCTATTAAGATGTCCTATGCCAGTGCCTCAGCAGTGGGGACATTAATAAGGGAAGAGTTGTTTTACATAAAATCTTGTGCAAATAGGGTATTTGACAGTATTAAAAATAAAGTGCCAATTCTTAGCATCTGTGTGTAGAATGAATATTGGCAGGGGTTTTTACTATTTTTACAATAAAATATTCATAATTTTACTAAAAACTCACGAAAAAGATAATACTTTTCTTATCTATTGTCACGTGACCCAAAACGCTTTGGATTGGCGGAGCCTTAAATGACGTCACACGCAAGTAAACTTCCGGTTAAATTGACATTACATTGTATCGTTTGACGTTTTAATAACAGTCGTGTGACGTCACACACTAGTAAGACGCCATATTGTCCAGAGAAACGATTTCGGGGCAACTTGAAAATGGAGGTTTTGATTTGGTTATTTTTACTGAAATACACAACAGAATGATGAATATCCACTTTTTACGGACTCCATAAATATTAGTCAATAACGTGAGATCGTTTTCTAAAACTTGTCAAATACCCTATTTGTGTTATCAGAATCAGAATCAGAATTTTATTTGTGAAACATAGGTTAGTATACATGGTATATAAAATTTTTGTTAGTATCACTACATTTCCACCTTAATTAAGGTATACAAATAGATATGGTCAAAGTAGATTATAAATTAATTATAAATTTGATAAGCCATAAAGTTGTCATACTAATAGTCAAAATTTTAATAGAAAAATAAGCAAAATGTCCAAAATAGCAATAAATACACATTTCTGAATTGGCAATTTTAATATGTCTAAATTTTATAATAGAGAACTGCTTTTATAAAAGACATGTCCGATTTAATTACAAGATTTGTCATTTAAAAATTCCTCAACTGTATAGTAGGCTTTTTCAACTAATAATGCTAACAGACGCTTTTTAAAAGTCTTTATCGGTAGTGATTTAAGACAACTCGGAACCTTGTTGAATATTCTGTGAGCCATCCCAAAGAAGCTACTACTAACATGTACGGTTTTAAATGAAGGAGCGCAAATCCTATTCCAGTGACGATGATTTCTATCTGGGTTCCTTTCTGAGAGTGTCGGAAACAGAGAATTGTTACATAACACAAAAACAGCTACTTCATAAATGTACAGCGAAGGCAGAGTCAGGATTTTCATGCTTATGAAAAATGGTTTGCAGCTATCCGTCGATTTGAGGCAATTTATCGCTCTTATACACCTTTTTTGATGTTTGAATAAAAGAGTTTTATTCACAGAATTTCCCCAGAAAATTATTCCATACCGTAAGATACATTCAACATAACCTCGGTATGCAGTCAAAACAGTGTCCCTATTAGATACCTTTGAAATTGAACTACTCACTCTCTTACATAATTTCTCAGTGTGAGATTTCCAATTAACCTGATAATCCATTTGCAGACCTAAAAAATTCGTTTCAGTAACAGATTCAATTTCCTCACCATTGCACTTTAAAGCTACTGAGGGTATTTCAATCTTTTGTCTGAAGTGTATTACTTTTGTTTTTTTACTATTCAGGCACAAGTTATTTTGGACTATCCAATTGTTAAGTTTTTCCATAGCATTACTAATGTCATTTTCATAGTCTTGTTCATTATTACATTGAATCACAGCAGTACTGTCGTCAGCAAATAAAATCATGGGATGGTCAATAGAATTTGGAATGTCATTTATAAATGCATTAAAGAACAAAGGTCCTAATATACTACCTTGAGGCACACCAGCCTCTACATCTCTACATAGAGACATAAATTCCCTAATAATTTTGTTTTTTTTTTGCAGAATCTAGTTATAACAGTATATTGTTTCCTGTTATTCATATACGAATCTATTAATTTAAGAGCTACGCCTCTTAACCCATAAGCATAGAGTTTGGCCAATAGTAACTTATGATCAACGTTGTCAAAAGCACAGGTCATGTCCATAAAAATGGCACAAACATGTTGTCTTTTGTCCACAGAGGTCTTTATTATATCAAGTAAACTATATATTGCCTTTTGAGTATTTCTATTTTTACGGAAACCAAACTGCTCATTTACTAACACATTATATTTTTCAAAGAAATTATATATCATATCATGTATAACGGAGCATGTACCTCGTCAGAGTTTTTAGAAATAGTGATGTCAGCATCGCTGACATCACCATTATCATCCACAGGGCCGCTCATTGCAAATGATAAAAACAATGGGTTATAAATTGTTTATTCGACACACAAAATGAATAAATAGTAGAACAAATAATGTTTTCTAAATCTATTTTAAAAGCTAACACGCAACCTATCTATAAAAATCGATATTGTACTCACAATTTCTCTGTGACCTCTCCTCACCAAGTTCTCAAGCCAAATGTGTCACAAGCAAGTCACTTATTAGTGTTCTAAGAATATGGCGCCTGACTGAATGCAAAGCAGAGCGCCATCTTGCGAACAGTTCCGGTTGAACAATAAATTTCCATCAAAATTAACTTAACATCGATATCTAATGCTTAGAACTTAACTAAAAATCCTTATTTAATTTAATTAGATTTTAGGTCGATTTCCTAATTTATTACCTGTTTTTAATTATTTGCAGTTAAGTACATTTACAACATTACAAAGCGGTTGCTAGGTGACGTGTAACTCCTGTTACCGTATCCGTAAAGAACAATTCTTATTTAAATATTACGATTATTGACATGAATTTAGCTTGTTACGTCTTTATAAATTAAAATGCTAATTATTAAATTCCATAAGCGGAATAACTTAAACAGTTATGAGAAATCTTATTTAAGAAAAGCTTACTTCAAACACTACAAACAATCATCAGACTTTTTAACAATGAAACCTTAATAAACTCCAAGAAAATTAAACTTTAACAAGTAATCGTCATTTTTAACAAAATTAACTCTATTAATATTAAACTTGTAATTATAATTTAACAAATTATTTAATTAGCTTTTCAATGTCCGGCTTCCGCGCCGACATGTATTATTTTTTCAAATAATTTAGAGAATATTGGCAACTGAGCAATAGGCCTATAGTTTTTTATATCCGACTTATCTCCTTTTTTAAAGATCGGCTTAATAATTGAAGTTTTAAATACTTCAGGGAATATTCCACAGTTAATACTTAAATTAATAAGAAATGTTAAAGGAAGAGCCAAAGAGTCTAAATTTTCTTTAATTACTTTAGTGGGGATACCATCAATACCTACACTAGATGTATTCTTTAATGATCTTATGGTTTTTTTAACAGTTTCTGGTGTAATTTCAGGCAAGAATATTGAATTTTCAAGTTTTGTAGGTATTTTGTACGTAGAATTAAATTTTTTTTGTTTTAGTGTAGAGTCTACGAAATGGTTGTTAAACATATTGGCCACATGCAAAGGATCAGAGATTCGCATTCTATCTCTAAGTAAATGTTGGATCGTTTCCTGAGGATACTGATTTTTATTCTTATTTATTATTTGCCAGGTCGCTTTTGACTTATTAATAGCTGCTTTTATGAAGTGATCGTTTTGTGCCCTCTTTGTTAAATTAATATTTTTTTGTACCGCTGGCAATAGTTTTTGAGAATCAGTTTATTTGCTTCAGTTGGACAACACCTATATCTCCACAGCAATTCTCGCTTCTTTTTGCTACAAGTCCTAACACCTCTAGATACCCATTTTACTTTTTTCTTACATTTTATTAATATTTGCTTATAGGGAAAACATAAGTTATGAAATAATTTGACAGTCTCAATAAAAATATTACAGGCAACATTTACATCGTCTGATGTATAGACTTCACTAAAACTTAATGCTTGAATAGCCTCCTGAAATTTAATCATATTTTCTACAGAATAATCACGTTTTCTTATGCGCCAATAATTAATCGGACATGTCCTCTTCACAGGACAATTTAATAACTGCGCAGTGTGATCTGACAAGGCTAGCTCAACTACTTCGCTCTTACAACCTCTATAATTTACGGCAAAATTATCAAGACATGTTTGACTACTGAGCCTTGTGGATTGTCTGATTTGTAACTTAAAATTATAGCTTAAAAGTAAATTCTCAAAATAGTCAGTCAATTTGGTCCTTTTTAAAATATTTACATTAAAATCACCACAAATTATACATTTAAAATCATTATTATTTTTAGTCAATTTATTTAAAAGTAATTCAAATTTATTAAGAAATAATTCTATGTCAGTATTTGGTGGTCTATATATACAAACTATAATCAGGTGTTCAAGCGTCAACTTCAATGCACAACATTCAAATACAGATTTAATACAAAATTTCGAGACATCAACAATTTCATACTCAAAGCCTTGCCGAACCAATATACACGAACCACCTCTACGAGTGTCTCTGAATAACTTGTGGCCAGTATATAGTTATTTAGATGAAAATTACAATTATCTACTTCTTTCATGAAGTGTTCCGTGATGCATATAATGTCAGTCTCCTTATTTTCTAAACATAAATCACAAATGGCGACAGTCAGTAAATCCAATTTATTTATCAATCCACATATATTTTGGTGAAATATTCTTAAATAATTAGAGACGAAAAAAATCTGATTCTTCAATCACCTTAGTTAGTTTTTCGTTGTTTATTTTTTGGTTCAAAAACAATGTTAATCGTAAGCGCTTTGACAAATATACGGAGCTCTACCTTATTGCTGTCCCATAGCGTCAATCATTTGACAGAAACCCTCATTGTATTAAGAACACGCAAATCCTAATAATTTCCAAATCTTTTAACAGGTAGGTTTACCATCCGCCCGGATTAGTCTCGACGTGTCCGGACATTTAGACTATAGTCCGGACTTTGTCTGGATCTTTAAATTGACCGGATTTTTTTAATTACATTGAATATGAATAATAAAAGTACATATTGATTTAAGTACCATACCATTGTAACTAAGTGAGCAGTGATACCGTGCTTCGGAAGGCCACCGACCGTCCTGCTGCGTCACTGCTACCGTCCCTGCTGCATCTGGAGTCGTTAGCACCCACCAATCTGCACTGGGCCTGCGTGGTAGGTCATGGCTCAATCTCCCTATTCCATCTATAGGGAAGGCCTGTGCCTCAGCAGTGGGGACATTAATAGGCTAATGATGCTGATGAGCAGTGATACCATTTTGTGACTAAAAAGGCCGGACTTTTTTCGAAATGTCAGGATTTTTGTCAGGAATTTTGAAATTTCTAAATAGTAACCCTATTTACAGGAAAGTGCAAACCCAACCGATGACCCTCTCATCTCCGATATCGTCAGCATCGGAACACAAGCGTTCACTACAGAAACAAATGAGTGTTACTACGGAAGTTGCGCCCCCCCACCACAAGGTCACTTTGGACAGCATCATCACGGAGTACCTGTACAATCAGCACGCTTTATGCAAGAATCCTGTCGTGACATGTCCACAATTCAACTTGTTTCAGTGAGTCCCTATATAGTCAGTCTACTATAGTTTCCGCTCCCGCGTAATAGTTAGTTTTTTGAGAATTCCAAAGGTACTTAACTCTTGTTCAGGTTTTAAAGTATCCTATGTGTCAATGTAGGTAATAAACTATGTGTGTGTCAAAGTTCACCCAAATCCGTTCAGCCGTTTTAGCGTGAAAGAGTAACAAACATCGAAACAATTTCCCGTTTATTATATTAGTTGAAAGTAGGATATTGGTAGGATTTTAATATTAGCAGGCTAGGAATAATGCAGATGAGTTTAATCACAGAACACAGAAAGAGGTTAGAAGGGTGATAAGCGATCGCCAGTGTGAGAACCGATGTCGCCAGCTCGTCCCCACTACACTTCCACCTAATAGATAATAAGCCAATCAAACGACGCGACAGTCGTGACTGTGAGCGTTCATTCGTTCACACCGATTTTAGCTCTAGTGGTTGTCACTGAGTCGATGAAATATTATCGATATTAAATATGCCAAGTGCGAGTTGGACTTGACTTGATTGTATGGAATTTTTTGTATTCTGTCAAAGTCAAAAGATAAAGAAAATGATTTAATGTAAAACGCATTACTACAGATAGTTATTTATTGACCTTTAAACAGTATATATTTATGAAAAAGGTGACGCTTTGTTTCTTTTTTAAAGTTATTTTTCAAAAGAAATATATCTATATATTTTTCAATTACCACTTTAATTGAATCTGTTACGTGCTGAAGATAATGGGAATTCACCGACTTGATAAAATTATATGTCATCAAATAATGAAGTGCCAATAAACTTTTTTTATATTTTTTGGACTAAAATTTCTTTTATGACATTTTTCAAATTATCTGCATGTTGTCGTATTACAGTTTCTGCACTTTCGCATATTTTTATAACATCACCACGGCCGGATATATCAGGCCACCTTTATCTTTTAACGAACTAAATTTATGTTAATTATTACTTGAATCTGATATTAGGGCAAATATCGCATTAGTTTTTTTTTAATAAGGACATGAACTGCATTGCCTGCTATGTAGGCAATGACTCGTGTACTGAAATCAGTAAAATCTTCATCTTCATCCTCCTCGTTTTCAGATGGCTCTTTACAATCTCTTTCTACTGACTGTGTGGACAAGTTAAATCTCTCTATAGTCCAGTCAAAATAGACAAAAATAAGTCATAACTTAGGGATAATTTGCATAGAGCTGAAAATTGGCAGAGGCTTTAAATACATCATTATAAATAAAATGTCTAAAATCTCCTTCGATCCTACTTCTGCAAAAAATATTCAAGGTCAAACTTACAAAATTATGGTTCTTTTCATTTTTCTCGAAAACGGTAAGTTTTATCGTGAAAATAGATCTGACAAAAGTTGAAGATCATACAATTCTCTACAAAACTGTTCCAGTCATTTATCTCTCACGACACACCATTCGTGAGATATCGCTGTTTTAATAATTATAAAATTCATATTTTACATATTGAGTATAACTTAGTTGCTGCTAAAGCTAAGTACCACAATAACTGTTATAATATCTTTCTGAGGCCTACTATGGGATATAAATCTGCATGGAACAGTAAAACAGTACAGTGGTATTGTCTGCCTCCATCATCTGCTTTTGCCTTTCAACACTTGTATCGTGTGTATTATCAAGTTCAAGTGTGGCTAGGCAATGATCTGGATATTTTCCCGCTGTTCAACGTAGCGTATGTGTTAATCCAGAGTGTCAGCTAACTCCATACCAAATTTTATTAAAAACGCTCCAGCCGTTTAGTCGTGAAGAAGTAACAAACATACACACTCACAAACTTTCGCCTTTATAATATTAAGTATGATAAACATTCACAATCAGCTTTTATTTATTTCTAAAAGTTACTTTAATTCCATTATTAGGTGCTAAAATTCAGTCGATAAAATCTATCGAAATGTAAAATGTACGACGCAAGACACCAGTAAAGTAGATGCAATGACCTTGTACTGCGTGCGGCCACGTGCAGCGCTCTGTGATCCACGCGTCATTCTTGCTCGATCGTACTACATTACGTGTTTTGAATGTCGTAGAAAGAATAGCGAGCGTACTTTGTCAGCAATGAAATTTTTTTGGAAATATTATGCGATTTATCGTTTTATTAAAATTTCTCGAATTTTTGCTAAAATGTCAGTCTAACTAAGAAGTTTTATATTTACCGATGAAAAGAAATTCCTGCTTTAGGTAGATTTGATGATTGACTCCTTACTTTGCAAGTAATTACGGCACACGAAGGCATATTTTAAGCGGTAATCACAATACTCTCGTACTGAGCGGTCGCGGACAATTAAACGACGCGATCGGACGTTACGGTCAAGTTATGAGCATTTGCTCATAACTGTGACGTGCCTGCCCCGCCCACAAGGCCATTCTAACCTCTTTCTGTGTTCTGTGAGTTTAATCACTGAAGTGGCGCCCCCCACCACAAGGTCACATTGGACAGCATCATCAGTCAGTACTTGTACAATCAGCACGCCTTATGCAAGAATCCTGTCGTGGTATGTCCGCAATTCAATTTGTTCCAGTGTGTTTCGATTCTATTGAGAAACTATTTGTAAGCATAACTCTCTAACAAAGGCAAGTAAAACATGCTTCGAAACTTTAATAGTAATGCGACACTTTCCCTAATCAAATGTCTACAAATAAATTCGCCTAATTTATTTGGTAAGATAATGTTAGAGTGGAACGGAAATTACACGGCGGGGACGTTTTACTGCATTAAGATAGGATGAAAAATTATTTCAGAGAATATGGTATACATAACTTGATGATAATGTAATTTTTTTGTTCAAATATTACTAGTAGGTTATATATTAAGCATTAAAATAAATTTCACCCGTGCAAAGCCGGCGTGGAATCCATTTTTTTTTACTAATAAATATAATATCACCTTTCAGGCCTCACAAATGCCCGGACCCCCGAAACTCCTGGTCCATACCGGGCAGCGGTTCCATAAGCAGCGTTTGCGCTCGTGTCGCTCGCCGCGAGTTAGGCTACGGCTGCGGCTATAAGCGAGCGGACGCGAGATTGGCACATTCTCAGTTCGCGCCGGTACGAACGCTTAGACCACAGGACGACGATGCCTACTTCACGCATACTATATTCCATGTGAGTATTTAATTATAAGCACCCAACTAATCCACAGTGACTCCTTGTAATGACTCATATAAGCACCCGCCAATCCAGAGTAGTTCCTCGAATAATTCATATGAGCACCCACCAATCCGCAGTGGCTTCTCGAAGAGGCTCATATTAGCACCCAACTCTCCGCATTGACCCCTTGTAGTAGTATAATTAGCACCCACCAATCCACAGTGACTCGTATTGGCTCATATAAGCAACCAAAATACCCGCAGTGGTTCATATTAGCATTCACCAATCCGCATTGACCCCTCGTAGCAGTACATATTAGCACCCACTAATCTACAGAGGAGCTCGATGGCGCAGGTGTATTGCGCGTTCGTTCGGCTGCGACCGTTGAAGTTGAGCAACTTTCGCAGTGGTCGGTCATTGGATATTGGATAGTAAAAATCTGCTATCTCGAGTTCCTCCGTGCTTCGGAAGGCACGTTAAGCCGTTGGTCCCGGCTGTGTCTGCAGTCGTTAGCACTCACCAATCCGCACTGGGCCCGCGTGGTGGCTCTTTTTTTTTTTTTATATCAAATACTTATATCTATTATTACAGGTATATACCCAAGGCAATAGATACATCCATTTAAGAAATACATTATAATACACATTTACAAACACATTGGAAAAAATAATTAATTGCAACCGATAATAATCCACTCAGCTAGTTTTGTAAATTCGCTCAGAGCACAAACGAATACGTCCATCTTTTCATTAATTTTGTTGATTGTGCGCAATGCACGCGTCAGTGGAGCCTCACTCAATAATTTAGTGCGTCCAGTAGGAATTACCAACAGGCCCGGCCGCCGCCGACGCCAAATGTATTCATTTGGAACACTAAAACCAATTATCCCTAGTATGCCCGGATTAAATATCTTACCCCGAAGCACCTTAAAAATATAAATAACTAGCTTCAATTCTCTCCGAACCCAAAGCTGACTATATCCAACCATACCAAGAACAAATAATGTAGGATATTGTAATGGATAAAAGGGATACATGGCTCAATCTCCCTATTGCAGCCATAGGGAAGGCCTGTGCCCCAGCAGTGGGGACATTAATAGGCTGATGATGATGAATCCACAGTGGCTCTTACCAGCATTCTGTATTGGGCTCGTGGTTTGTCGTACCACCCATCATTACACACTAGGCCCGCGTGGTTTTACATACAACCAATCACAATTCCGCATTTTGCCCGCGTGGTGTGTCTTGGTCCAAACTTTCCATAAGCGGCGTTTGCGCTCGCTTCGCTCGCCGCGAGTTAGGCAACGATTGCGGCTATGAGGTGTCATCCATAAAGTATGACACACGTTAAGGGGGAGAAAGGGGATCGGCGAAGTGTGACATTGTGTGCCAAGGGGTAGTAGGGGTCCTAAGTTTCGTGACGTCACAATCTAAAATCTAAAACTTTTAACTCACAAATGTGACTAAGAGACAAGGACTGGGGAGGGGTAAAAAACTACGAAAACCACGAAATTAATGATGTTATTAATGGATGACCCTTAAGCGAGCGGACGCGTTCACATTCTCAGTTCGCGCCGGTACGGACGCTTAGACCTCAGGACGACAATGCCTACTTCACGCATACTATATTCCATGAGAGTATGTTTAACGTAACCATCCATCATTCTGTACTGGGCCCGCAAACGAACACCCATCACTACGCATTGGGCCCGAACACTAACTACATGATTCCATATTGGGCCTGCATATTTTGGCACTGGTTCTCCACCAATCACAGTCCGCACAGGGACCACGTTTTAAGTCATCAACTACCCATTCTACATTAGCATTCTAACTTTTGGCACTTCCTAACTTTAAGCGCCATTTGTACATAGTTCTGACAGTAAATGATTATGTTATCTAAGCTCGCACCATTCCTCATTGAGGCGCAAGGTAGGACACACTGTTCCGCATTAGCCCATACTGGGGCCGCGGCATTCCCCACTAGGCCTATTATTATCATCATCATCATCATTAGCCTATTAATGTCCCCACTGCTGGGGCACAGGCCTTCCCTATGGATGGGATAAGAAGATTGGGCCATGACCCGCCGCGCGGGCCCAGTGCGGATTGGCGGGGTTAACGTCCGAAGCACGCAGGAACTCGAGATAGAAGATTTTTGGTCACCCATCCAATGACCGACCACTGCGAAAGTTGCTTAACTTCAACGATCGCAGCCGAACGCGTTATTAGTACTTGCGCCATCGAGCTCCTCGAGCTATTATTATATTATAAGATTATTCTCCATAGTGTAGAATCATGATGTCGTATGACCATTTTAAGTATACGAATGTTTGTCCTCAGCCAACGCAACATCAGCTGTTAGCCGCAACATCATCTGGTGACATTCGAATATTCAATCTTTTCACGGGCGTAGAAGAAAGCTCATATCAAGTGCACGAGTCCTACATATGTCATATGCAGGTATGCATAGAAATGAGAAAAGAAAGAAAATCTATTTTAATAACTTTAGTACTACAAAGAAATAACAGCATTAATTTATAGGAAACGCTGTTACTCAGATTCTCTTTCAGCCAAAGCCAAGTTATTAGAAAATTATAATATTATTTTATTTTTGTAAAAAGGTTAAGCGGCCGCAATATCTATTTTTTTTAATAGCCAGGTAGGCAAATGACTCTACCCCACCTGATGTTAAGTATTTAAGTTATAAAAATAAATAAAATAATGCCTTTGATGCTTTTATAAAGAACACAAATAGTTCAAAATCAAAAAACTAATACCTCGGCAACACTTCTCATTCGTAAAACTTTAAAATCTTTTTTTTTCAAAATCTCTGTTTACCGTGAATGTTATTTACGTAATCGCCATTTTGTTATCAAGAAAAGGACAACAATATATAATACAGCTCAGCCGTTCGCACTGGGAAGCTGATTCGCTATTTCGCTCGCTCTGCGTTGAAGCGTACAGTTCTGAATGTTATTTACAGGCGTGTGCGTGTGTGAGAGTTGCTTATGTAATTGAATCGGATCATTTTTTATTTGATGCTAGTATGAGCGTACCGTGTGTGCGTGTGTGAGAGTTGCTTATGTAATTGAATCGGATCATATTTTATTTGATGCTAGTATGAGCGTACCGTATCTTCCCTTTTTGTTTTAATCTAAGCACAGCATTTTCATTCACGTTTCGCAGGCTGCGTCGTCAGAATTATGATTATTATTCACTTTTGACGAGCTACCTTCGAAAGACTTATTGAACGTTAGGATACTTCATTGAAAGATTATTGAAATTATACTATGTATGAATTTATTAGTTAATTTAATTATAAATTGTGTTTGTTTGTCAGGCTAGTAGAGACGGGTTATTGTTATTAGCTTCAACACCGACAACGTGGCGACCTCTATCGGCATTGTGGAACATGAAGGAGTTTGAACAACTGTGAGTATAATGACGCGGCTACACTTGGTCGTTAGCCCGAATACGAATGCCAATGAAATTCGGGTAAACGACTAAGTGTAAACGAAAAGAGTCGAGTACCTGTATTTGGGTAGATTTCCTTTTGTTTACCCGTCACCGTCTTCCAGTGAAAATATTGCTTCGAGTGCCGAATTCGAGTATTGTCTTTTGTGCACCCGAATACGGGCTAACGACCAAATGTAATAGGGCATTTGACAAGTTTTCGTTGGGATAGGGCATTTGACAAGGGAACGTTCATTCGTTATTTACAAAAGTTTATGGGGTCCATAAAATTGGATATTCATCATTCTATTGTGTATTTCAGTGAAAATTAAATTAATAACTAAATCAAAAACTTCATTTTCAAGTTGCCGCGAAAACGTTTCACTGGACATTGGTGTCTTACTGGTATGTGACATCACACGACTGTCATTAAAACGTCAAACGAAACAATGTAAAGTCACTTTAAGCGGAAGTTTACTAGCGTATGACGTCATTCTAGGCTCCACCAATGCCAGGCGATTTCGGTCACGTGAGAATAGATAAGAAAATTGATAATCATTTTCGTGGGTTTTAGTAAGATTGTGAATATTTTTTCTGTAAAAATAATATAAACCCCTACCAAATATAGGGATACAGATGCTAACAATTGGCACTTCATTTTTAATACTGTCAAATACCCTATTGCGGCATTACTATTAGACGCATATTGGTGTCGAATCTGAAATTATTCTCTACATCTAAACTAAATTTGACAACAGTGTATCCTTGTCATTCTCTATACAGAATGAAAACGAGAGCCCGAAGTTAAATTTAGTTTTAAATTTAGAGAATCACGCCAGAATGGACACCATTATAACTATAAAATACTAGACATAAAGCCTTGATGACGCACTTGGGGCGAGTTTACAAAGCTGCTAGCGAATTTGCTGGCTTGTAGCTTGTAATCTGTGCCCGTGTCATTCAGGCTTTAAGGGGTTTTTAAGAATCATAATTTCATCTACTAATTAAGGCAATCCTTTTAATCCCGGATAAATTTTTTTATAAAGACAGTAAGACTAAAACGGATGCTGTCACTTTTGTTTGCTAAAAAGATGCCGGAGACAACATTAGACTAACTTTAGTCTGCGTTTTGAAATAAGGCGGCTTGAGTATAAACCGCAGTATTAGCAAATTAACACATAACGCGATTCAACTAAGAATAAGACCGACTGGGCGCCAAATTTTGACGACATAGCTGTCAATTCAAACGAAATAAGAAGAGTGAGCAAAAAAATGCTGCTATTTAATAAAACTTATTTACTAAGATTAAGTGAGACAAAACATCAGATTTTTTAATAAAATTAATTAACTAAGGTTGAGAAAGAACACAACCAATTTTTAATAGTATTTCTTTATTAAGACTGTGTGAAAAAAACATTAATCAGAATCTAGCTCTTCAATTTCGCTCATCTCTGCGTTACCGCCGGAGAAGTTATGAATAATCATGCAGGTCACATACGAACATGCATACGTAGACGAAAGTTTTCAATCGAGTTTTTGAACGCACCATAAACTGACATATTTTGGTTGATGATTTAGGTTATCAACCATTCATAGCCAAAGCTCAATGAATGAAAAAAAAAAACAATTAATATTAATTATCAACTAGAATCAGCTGAGTGCTAAAAAAGTGTTCCGAGATTTTTTTGCAAACCGTACTTTACAAGCGACATTTGACAGATGGAGGTCATTGGCTTTCCTATTTTTATTTGAATCGCATTATACAAAAACGTTTATAGCGTATGTTTTTTCCCCTACGGTTTTGCTCAAGATGTTGCCGCTAACTAAACCAGGTTTTCAAAAGCATCGCGTTCTTTTTTTTTCTTTTGTATTGTTTATAACAATATTAAAGAAATTGAGCGTGAGTTATTTCATGGACGGTAGGTTACAGATAACATTGTGTGAATAAAGCAATGATCAAGGATCACAATATAATTTACAAAACAATATGCATCTCTCAAGGCAGTTTCATGAATAGGCTTGTATCCAAAAATTTAATTATCGATTAATTCTTTTCTTTATTAGATATTTAACAGAAATAACAGATTTTTTCTTCAAAAATCGATCAGTAACATTATTATTTTATGTTTTTTATAAACTTGTGCGAATTTGCCGCGAAAACGCTGTAAACCTGTCATGGCGTATGTATAACGTCACACAGTGCAATACAAAACTCACCGTGAACAGCAATTGATACTTTTCTTTGCTTTATTTAACTTAAAAATGGATTCTACGTTTTATAAGTATAAAGACACCAAATAAATTGTTTGTAAGAGTTCCAAACAATGAACAAATTCGAAAGAAGAATGCGAAATTCCGAAGAGCAAAAATCACTGTTTCTCGCGAAAAATGATCCGAGCATAGCAACATCTATTCTTGGTAGATTCGTAGAATTTGCTTTGCTAAATCCAGACTGCATCGCTAATTATATGAAACTAGTGAAATAGACGGCAAAACTGGTTATCTATTAAGTCAAAATGCAAAAAAATGGGGATGAATTCTTCGTTCACTACTGTGTTTTCTACTAAAATGTTAACAACAACAATAGCGGATGCACTCTGTGACGTAACTCTTTCTGATTGATGTTTACTGTCACATGACTAAATCCTATTTTTTTTTCAGTTTTAAAATCCTTAAAATAATATTAATCTTTCTATTTCATTGTTAATAATAAACTTCATTGACATGTTTTAATAATAATAAAACTATAAATACCACAATAAACCCGATTTAATATTAGTGGACACAAGCCTATTACTGTAGATAACTTGTGTTCTGTTTAGTCACTATCAATTCTTTACAAAACCATTAAGAAATGGCGTTCTTGTTACTGAGGAGCTCGATGGCGCAGGTGGTTAGCGCGTTCGGCTGCGATTGTTGAAGTTAAGCAACTGTCGTAGTGGGCGGTCATTGGATGGGTGACCAAAAATTTACTATCTCGAGCTCCTCCGTGCTTCGGAAGGCACGTGAAGCCATTGGTCCCGGCTGCATCTGCAGCCGTTAGCACCCACCTATCCGCACTGGGCCCGCTTGGTGGGTCATGGCCCAATTTCCCTATTCCACCCACAGGGAAGGCCTGTGCCCCAGCAGTGGGGACATTAATATGCTGATGATGTTGTTCTTACTATTACTTTGGGAGATCTGAAACATAATTGATCCTAAATATAATAAAATGGTTGGACAGTCAAAACTGTACATTGAATATTTTTTTTAAAAAAATACATGGGTTGTGATCTACAATCGATACCGAAGCCAAAAATATAGATTATAGAATTTTTGTCTGTCCGGGATAAACTCAAAAAGTACTGCATGGATGTATGTACTTCAAATTTAGCACGAATATTATTAAGAAGTCGGGTCAACATATAGGCTATCATCACGCTATCACCTACGGGGAACGAGCAGTGAACCTTTATTTCTGTCAAAAAGTATGTGCAAATAACTCCACGCGTACGAAGTCGCGGGCGGCCGCTAGTAATGTAATAAAACTATAATTATACGACACAGCAATCAGTCACTGTTAATTCCTACCAACAAACCATCAGGTCCGAAACTTGTTTTTCCCCAATCTCGTAAATCTGTCACTACCAATTCCGAACCACATTTACCCTCCTCCCGACCAATGCCAATCTCGTCTAAAGCTCGTCATCAGATTTCAGCTGGACAACGAGGAGTACGTCGAGTTCTCGAAGGTTTCCGACGATCGGATCATAGGAACTAAGGGAGAGACGGCAACTATCTTTGACACGAGGACAGGCAGGGAGCTGATGACCCTCACGCCAAGGATAAGCAATCAGTACGCCAAGAATAGGGCTACGTTCAATCCTACGGACGAATTAGTGTTATCAGGTGAGTGCATTTTTAGGCCTGTATTATAGAAATATTCTCAGTGGTTGATCTAGTCTTGAGCATTGTTATAAAGGGATGTCGCTATATATAGCACATAGCGACATCCCTTTCTAACTGTACTCAAGTAAAGATCGACACTTAGTTGTCATTCTGTAATACGGACCTTAGTATTTTATGGATATTAGAATCGGAATCAGAAATTATTTTGTTGAACATAATGCTTTTAAAGGCACTTATTGAGGTCATGTCAATACGTATGTCTGTCTGGACATTATGGCATCACACTAGTATGTGACGTTACACGACTGTCATTGAAACGTCACAAACGATACAATATAATATTACTTTGGCTGAAAGTTTAATAGTGTGTGACGTCATTTCAGTCTTGGCCAATCTTAGACGTATTCGGTTACGTGACCATGGAGCAAAAAAAATAATTTCTATTTAACGATTTTACAGAAAAATTATGATTTCAAATCGCTGCTAATATTCATATTAAATACAGATGCCAAAAATTTGTACATTATTATTCATACTATCAAATACCCTATTGTAACAAGTCAATAGGTCGCGTTTTGAAACCCCGTTGACAATTTTTTTATTAATTTTAATAAGCAAATTTACTTAGTGGTAAGGAAAATAAGTAATTGTGGGTATGGTAGAATGCGAAGAGATGGCGCTGCCTTGCAGCTCAAGAAAGGCTAGGAAGAATTCGACACAGCCGTCAGGGCCGCGGTAGCATAATGGTCAGTGCATTTGCTCGGATAGCGAAGGGTGCGGGTTCGAGTCCCGTCAGCTGATTAGTCCGCGTGAAATAATTTCTAGTTTTTGGCGGTAAATTCAAAACCATTAAAACTAATTCGTTTTTTTTTAATTGGTCTAATGGAGAAAAAAGACTTTAATTAATTTATTTTTATTTTTATGTGAAATTGTTTGTCCCAATCTTTAAATATAAGCAGTTTTTAAAAAATTGGAAAATACCCTATTTAAATTATAGAAAATAAATAGTTTGAATTGGTTTGTATAGCGAATTAACCAATGTTCTTAGCTTAAGTAGATACTCATATTTAATGAAGAATGTTTTGGTTCATAAACTGTTAGAAGAAAATAGTAAATGAATAAATACGGTATTTTTGTCACTGTAGATGGTGTTTTATGGGACGTGAACACAGGCAAAGAGATCCACAAGTTCGACAAGTTGAACCAAACGCATAGCGGAGTGTTCCATCCGAACGGGCTTGAGGTATGTTACAAGCCCGATTTCTGAACTTGCTTCGAGAATTTATCTATATACACTCCCAGACAAATCTATCGACCGACTTAAGTTTCATCGGTCTGTAGCAAAAGTATATGTTAGGCTGAGCAATAACAATATATACATAAAAAAAAACACACGAAATAGATGGTTAAAAATATACGTACCCACACGCTTGAGAAGTTATACTTCTTTGGCATCATTCAAAATTAGTTTTAGACTAATAGAGATTCTATTTCTATTTTGTTGGTAGCTTTTTTTCGAGACTTAATGTGCGGTTTAGCGGCCCACTTCATGGTGTTACTTTTGTGTTACAGTGATGCGCGAGCATCTTAAAACTACACTCTCATCGTTTCTTTAAAGAAGTGAATATAACTTTAATCAAAACTACGTAAAATCTTGTTGCTCAATGTAACTTTTTTGCTAGGACCCGTCAAATCAAATCTTAAAATCGTATGTGGGCTGATAGATGTGCCCGGGAGTATATTATAGTTCAATTCAAACTTCAATGATGCTGGTTGTGAAGTTAGCAGCGAGCGCACTATGCGCAGACTTCAGTTTAGTGACATCCCACGCAAATTTTTATCACCCAAAGATGTCATTAGGTAAGAATATAAATTCATTGACATTGCCTTACATTTAATGCGCCGAGACTTGCACTAACTTTACGGCCGCCATTAAGTTTGAATCACACTTTCATTATTTATAAACAGATATAAATATGACCTACATCAGGATATGTCCAAATGGCCATATGTGTTCACAAAAGTCATATGCAACTTTCATGTATGCTATATCATCATCATCACCATCACCAGCCTGGGGCACAGGCCTTCCCTATGAATGGAATAGGGAGATTGGGCCATGACCCACCACGCGAGCCCAGTGCGGTTCGGCAAGTGCTAACGACTGCAGATGCAACCTGGACCAACGGCTTAACGTGCCTTCCGAAGCACGGAGGAACTCGAGATAGAAGATTTTTGGTCACCCATCCAATGACCGACCACTGCGAAAGTTGCTTAACTTTAACGATCGCAGCCGAATGTACTAACCACCTGCGCCGTCGAGCATGTATGCCATATGTATGAGCCCAATTTTGTCAAGTGACGACTTCCATAGTGTGAATGGTATGTACGCTGGGTCTTAAGAGCCCTTTTACATTTTTTGCCAAAAATCGTAATTTTTGAGCACCTCATTTACCCCCTTAGAAAAGATTTTGACTATTTCCAATAGAAGTAAACAGTGGATTTATTCTTCTTATTGTAAGTTAATGAAGAATAGAATGAAGAATATTTGCAAATACTATTTTCCTTTTTTTGTACTGATCGTTCTACCGCAGCTAGTTTATGGAAAAAACGATAATATGCACAACTTCAAACGCCTGAATCTCTAAATAATGTTCAATAAATTAGATCAAATTAATTACTACGACATAAGAAATATGTTTTTGTTGTAACATAATGTATTTGAATTTTGATTTTCCATATCATTAATTATTATCAAAAAAAAAACATCTAACCTCCGTGAGTTTTCCCAAAAAACAATGCAGGTTTACCTCGTATTTTGACATTGAATTAAATAGAATTACTATCAAAAACTTTCATAAACTAATCTAACATTATTGAACTACTGATATATTTGTATACTAGCAAACCAGTGAACCAAATGTTCACCAAAACCTGATTTAAAAAAAAATGTATTTAATTAATTGAGAACTTCGGAGATTTTGTGTGGTTTCGTTTGAAATTCGTGATTTCTCGAAAACCGGAAGTGCTACGTTACTCAAATCCGGTTTGTAGTCTTATCAGACTATTCTTAACTTATAACTTAGACATTCTCTTTATCTATCTCTTACGGTTTGGCCGCTGAAACAGCACCACAGACAGACGGACGGACGGACGGACGGACTTGTCTAATAGATAAGAAATTTTTATAAATAGTTCATTTATAATCATTTTATAAGACTCGAAACATCACCCGTAAAATGCAATATTACTAGTGCAAATCTACCTAAAAGGGCTCTTAAGGTATACCTACTCAGGTTCTGGGTGCGAATCCCAGTGATGCAAATCTTTGTATGATGAATACTAGCATTTCTACCTGTGTCGTAGTGGTATATGTTATGTGTATTTAAAAAAAAAATACGCGTATCTATATGAGAAGTTGGCGAACAAAACGGTATAATTAGACATCTGGTCAAATGACATTTTTTTTAAAAGTCCGGAGGTTTCGGGCCCGTTGAATTTGAATCTCAAATAATTTTCAATCAAAACCGCCTAAAACAGTGTTAAAATTACTAAAGGACAATGGGCAAAACACACCCAACTCCGCCAACAATGTAATTAGTATGAATCGATAAATCTATGAAAAACTACCCTTTTTTATTATGACACCGTAAAAAATATCCTGGTAGTCAAAAGATATGACACCGTAAAAAAATCCTGGTAGTCAAAAGATATGACACATGGGCATATTTAAGTAGCTAAATAAATTAATTTCATAGTACCTTCATTTTATATTATTAGTAACCATAATAATATGCTATATCGTAATATACAACCAGATATACGACAAAGCGTACTTCGTTGTGATTGTGCGCTCCCTGTCACTTGATTGATGTTTTCTAACACGCTTTGGACATTGGAACACGACTATCGGTTTTGTCAATTAGTATGGATGAACTGGATGCATCCTGTGTAGTACTCCCATAATACCTAAGCCCTCTATGTACAGGCCAACTAACTAAATTAATTCCCTTGTTTCTTTAATGTTTGTTCGTTATAGTACTTGTACCTATTTAACTTAAAAAAAAACTAAAGACCCCCGGGATGGAATTTGATGCGCTTTGGCACAGATGATCATGACTATAATACCTTTCAAACAAATGTAGTTTAAGCCGTGGCGGACGTGGGTGCAGCGTCCATACATTTTTGCCCAATGTCCTTTATAAATTAAAACCATGCCAAAAGCTCACTGTAGGTATGTCATTCAGTTTTATACTAATTTTATGTAATTATACCGTTTTGTTCGTCAGCTCCTCATATATCGTTATTATGTATTAAAAAAAAAGTATACTTATCTGTATATCATCATTACTTAAATTTATTTTATTAATTGGTGTGTGTGTAAGAAATATTTATTTATTTGTTTCAGGTTATATCTAATACAGAAGTATGGGACTTAAGGACGTTCCATCTACTTAGGACTGTGCCAACTTTAGACAAATGTGAGGTAAGAATAGTATTAATCAAAAGAAGACTTTAGATGTTTAAACCTAAAGAAAATTTTATTAGAAAAAAATCTACACGGACTAGGCAGCAGACAGGGACTCGAACCAGCATCCCTTTGCTATCCGGGCGGATGCTCTGACCATTCAAATACCATGCTACTGCAAAATAAAAACGTTCAACGTTCCGCGGTGTGTGTGAAGTAAGGGGTTCCTTCGTAAATTTTCCTAAACACCCTCATTGGAATAGTTGAATTCGATCTAGTAAAACGTCAAACGTGTACCGATTTTTAGTTCTCGTTACGTCCGTTGTGGCGCTGCTGTTCAAAGGAGATTGCTCAGCTTCCATACATGTTTGGCCTAAAAACCAATAATCATGAAAAAATGTTTCCTAGATCCGAAATTACATATAAATTACTGCAGAAACGAATATTATTGATAGACACCCCTGAGAACTTCTATAAACCATATACACTGAACGATTTTGAGGTTATGTTTGCAAATAGGTACATAGGTATTAAAATAATAAAAAACAAATAAGTTTTATAGTAAACTAGGAAAATCAAGCCAAGTACCGAAATTATGTATTAGATTCAGGTATATAAAGCATGTAGATTAACTGATAGTTGCCTGTTTTTAAAATTAATGCACAAGAGTAACTTTTAAAATCAGGTATCATCTATGCATTTCCGGTTTTAATAAGGAAGGTACTCTGTGACAGAAACCGTGTGATGTTTTTTTTTTATTATTATAATGGTTCGCACGGTTTGTGCATTGGCCACGACAGGGTAAAAGGTAAGGAAACCAAAACAGTAACCAGTATAGTAAATAAAAAGGTTGTAAAATGGGATTTGGAGGTGTGATGATTGTGAATGAGCCACAGATTGGAGAGAATTTCTAAACTCTCGTTAACCAAAGAAAGCTAAGAGATTTAGGTTATACAGCCATATCTTCAGTAGCTTTATTATTTTTGTTATGTTTACATTATAACCATATTATAGATTTTTAGTGTATCGCACCTTATAATGTGTTTATGAAGGTGTTTGGCGAAAAATGTATGGAAATAGACTTTAAGATGTCGCCTACCATCTGTAATGAATTGTCTTAGCACATTTGCATCCATTGAAAATGATAATATATTTGTGGATATTAATACCACAGTGTAATAAAAATCTGTTTTATTTAATCGATCTTTACAAAATAGATTTGAAATTATATTATATAATAAACTTCGATCAGTCTTGGGCTGAATGTTACTACACCCATAGCCATTAAAAATGATTCGTATGTTTTTCAAACCGGTAAAATTAAAAGTCCTTTTTAAAATGAATATATTATACAAAGGTGTCCGTTAAAATCTAAGTACTGTAAAATAAAGTATAAATTACGCCAAGAATTACCGTATATGTCAATATTTTTTGTTCATTTGGGCCAATTTGAGCAATCTCCTTTCCATACAAGATTTGACATTGACATTTCGCACTCGCAAACTATTCGAATTCGATGTTAGTTCGTGGTAAGGGTACCGTTGTAGAAAGGCCAAAGGGGAAGATCTTCCTTCGAGCTGGATGATGGTAGCTCAGGGGCCGGGGCCCGACTAAAGGTACAATTCTGCAATGGGCTGCAGGCGACAACCGCAGGCGACACTGCGGCTGACCGTGCATTATAATGCGATTCAAATAAGAATAGGAAAGCCAATGAACTCTATTTGTCAAATGTCACTTGAAAAGTAAGTTTTGCAAAAAAGATCTTGGAATCCTTTTTTAGCACTCCGCTAATTCAAGAATAAAATCCAAACATGTGTAAACAAACAATAACTAATATTGATAATTTAATATTGGTTGCTATTTTTTTTATTTATTGAGCATTGGCCATGAATGGTTGAACCTAAATCGTCAACCAAACGTCACTTTAAGTTGCGTTCAGAAACTCGTTTTCAAACTTTCGTTTACATAAAGGATGCATGTTCGTATGTGACCAAGTAATAGTGCATGATCGTTCATAACTACTCCGGCGGTAATGCAGAGATGAGCGGAATAGAAGAGCTAGATTCTGATTAATGTTTTTCTCACAGTCTTAATAAATAAGTATTATAAAAATCAATGGTTTTTTTTCTCAATCTTAGTAAATAAATGTTTTTTTAAAAAAATCTGAAGCTTTTTCTCACTTAATCTTAGTAAGTAAGTTTTTTTAAATATAAACTTTTTTTGCTCACTCTACCTATTTGGTTTGAATTGACAACTATGACATCACAATATGGCGCCCAGTCGGTCCTATTCTTAGTTGAATCGCATTATATATGCATTGTGCAGCCGCGGCTTGTCGATGTCGTCGTGCTCGGAATCAATTTCATATTTCTAGTAGTGTCGCCTGCAGTCTGCAGCTGGGGCCTGTGGTCTGCGGTTCACTTCGGACTTGTACCTTAATGTTGGTCGGGCATCGTATATATAGAGTGTTAGCCTCCGAATTTTACTTGCGCGATTTAGGCTTCCATACGTATTGATCGCAACGCCATCTCTTGAGGAGGCGAGTGACTGTTTCCTCCATGTTGATTACAATTATGTGAGGCATGTAGATGTCGCCGCCACACATTAAACCGACTTTAAGGACAACCAATATTTTTTTTAGCCAACAAACTTTTGTTCCCGCAGGTAATATTTAATCCCACGTGCACTGCGTTGTACGCGGTGTGCTCGGACCAGGACTCGGAGGAGAGAAGCCAGTTCGATACTAGTTTTAAAACTTTAGACCCCTTCGACTATTCCAGCATAGGTGAGATCAATTAAATAAAATAAATAAACATTTCCAACACTCACATCAAAGAGCCTAGCCCCAAAGTAAGCACTGTAGGCTTGTGTTATGGGATAGTAGGGCAACGGATAGAATACATATACTGATACATTTATAAGTATCATAATCAGTATAGGGCACAGGCCTTCCCTATGGATGGAATAGGGAGATTGGGCCGTGTCCCAACACGCGGGCCCAGTGCGGATTGGCGAGTGCTAACAACTGCAGATGCAGCTGGGACCAACGGCTAAACGTGCCTTTCGAAGCACGGAGGAACTCGAGATTGAAGATTTTTGGTCACCCATCCAATGAATGACCGACCACTGCGAAAGTTGCTTAACTTCAACGATCACAGCCAAACGTGCTAACCACCTGCGCCATCGAGCTCCTCTGTGGATTAGTGGGTGCTAATATGTACCGCTACGAGGGGTCAATGCGAACCTGGGACCTCTACAAACCACTCGGCCACGGAGGTCGTCAAAATTAATAGAATATAACATTCATAGCTCAACGAAAACGGCTAACTAGTGCCGAGGTCCGAGTCTCAGAGACGCCCTCTAGTTGAGCCGACCCCTCAGGTTCGAGTGGTCTAGAGGCTCCAGACGGAGAGGATACTCCCCCCGTGGTGAGATGCCATCCGCCTGGAATACCTCTAGAGGCACTCGCCAATTCCCGGCTTGAGGTCCCCTTAGGATCTCGCCGTCCCCAAACTCGGTGACGCTGTAAAGGGCACCTGCGACCAACACCTTACAAGCTTAGCCTGTAAGTAAGCGCTGTACCGTTTATCTTATGAGATACTAGGTAACGGTTAGAAATACGCATAGTAATATGTGGACAAGTATATTTTTGTAGAAATAATAAATGTTTCTTACATTCGGATATTCACAGTCTCATGAAATTGGCAAGTAGAAAAAGAGACAGCCATAGTGCGGATACTTTACTCCAATACATAAAGGTGAATCTAATAATGAAGTCAAGAATAATAGGCTTATTATATATCAAAGCAAAGCTCTATATCTTTCCCAATATTTTTGAAGGATTAGTTCGTGATCAGGTGTATAATGCGATTCAAATAAGAATAGAACAGCCAACGACCTCCAACTGTCAAATGTTGCTTAAAAAGTACGGTTTGCAAAAAAATCTTGGAACCGTTTTTTAGCACTCTGTTAATTCTAGAATAAAAACCACACATTTGTTAACAAACTATAACAAATAGTGATAATTAATATTGGTTGATATTTTTTTTCATTTATTGAGCTTTGGCTATGAATGGTTGATAACCTAAACCGTCAACCAAATGCCACTTTAAGTTCCGTTCAGAAAAACAGTTTTGTGTGAGAAAAAACAAAAATCAGAATCTAGCTTATCAATTCCGCTCATCTCTGCGAACATGCATACGTAAACGAAAGTTGAGTTTAAAACTTTCGTTTACGTATGCATGTTCGTATGTGACCTAGTAAAAGTGCATGATTATTCATAACTACTCAGGCGGTAATGCAGAGATCAGCGGAATTGATGAGCTAGATTCTGATTTATGTTTTTTCTCACACAGTCTTAATAAATAAATATTATTAAAAATTTGTTGTTTTTTCTCAATCTTATTATCGTAAATATTTTAATAAAAAAAATCTTATGTTTTTTCTCACTTAATCTTAGAAGTTTTATTAAATAAAATCTTTTTTTTGCTCACTCTACCTATTTGGTTTGAATTGACAGCTGTGACGTCAAAATATGGCGCCCAGTCGGTCCTATTCTTAGTTGAATCGCATTATATAGTGCTTTGTCGCCGGGGTTTATCAACGAGCAACACGGATTTTTAAAAATGCGCTCTTTTGCATTCAATCTGTGGTCATTCGTAGACTTTATTACTACTAATATAGACTCTGAAGTGCAAATTGACGCAATTTTCACTGACTTTAGCAAAGCATTCGACGGGATTGACCACTTAATTCTGCTCCGTTAGCTCCTTCTCGCAGGAATCTATAGCAGCCTCTTTAGATGGTTTGCGTTTACGTTTCATAAGTCTGATTTGGTTATATTGGTTTCATGAAAAATGTTGCAAAAATGGGTTAAAATCCATTTGTGGGGTTTCGTTGCGTGCGCTGTGTAAACGGTTCAAGTTACACGAAATTCATGTATGACTGTTTTGTTTCCCTTTAAAATTTCTATAAAAATGTCCGGGACAGCATATGCCCATCTTTTAAGTTTGACTCATTATAACCTTTTTCCTTAATTAAATTCCTTAAATTAATGCGGGTGATACCGCAGGGGATCTGTAGTTGTGACATAACTGTAATAGTTAGACATATGGTATTGCGAACTTTTTGTAGATATTGATGTCTTCTATAAAAAAAATAGTACATCACTTCGCTCTATTGTCAATGACTTCTGCAGTAAAAGCGATATAAGGTAGGCTGTTATTGGCAGACATATCGGTCTAACCTCCGACGAAGTCTTTTTATTATGTTCTATACCTGTACCACTGTTCACATTCTCCCTATTCACTCGAAACTGTTCTCGACACAACACAACAACACACAACACTTACAGTATCGGATCGCGACAGAATACTTTTTTTGATTATTTCCGGTTTTACACATACGAACCACAGGATTCCAGACTCGCTAAAAACAAGGTACATGGTAACAATCCCGTAAATAACTTATATTCAACTTAGATTACTATGTATAATATTTTCTTATTGTTCAATAAAATTTAAATAGAATGATTTTTTTTCACAGCGACTATAGACGTAAAACGTAACATATACTCGCTGGCTATATCCCGTTGGGGCACTCAGATATCCCTGGTGGAGAATATGGGCGATTTCGACCAGGTCCAGGAGTCCTGCGTTAAGGTTTACGATGTGGGCAGGAAAAGAGACCACGACGATGATGCGGTGAGTTGACTTGAAATTTGATAACCGTGCCTATAAATATGGCCTGGGTGATGAAAGGATATAAGGAACTCAGCAACCACTAGTAATTCTATCTACTATGAAATTTATTTGGCTACAAAATAAGTATTAAATTTATCCTTTTTTTAACACTTTACTAGCTAAAAAGTAGATTTGCCAATTTTCATATTTCTATATTTAAAATTGACAAGTTTCACACAGGCATTCATTTTGTATTTTAAACCCCTCAGATTGCAGGTCATTACTAAATTATATGAGCTTCGAATTATTATTGAAAAGATGAGAGAGTAAAAAACAGCCCTTGCTGAGTTTCTTGCCGGTTCTTCTCAGTTCAATGTCTCCCGCCGTAGTTTTGCGAACCGATGACGTAGCTTCTAGACATTCACAAGTGCTTGTAACAGCCTAGACTGAAAAAATGATTTTTGATTTTGATTATTTATTTTGTTCTTCAGGAGGAAGACGAAGAAGAGGAGCTGGCCGGAGGTTCTGAGAACGATGATGGATCTGATTCGGGCTCTGACAACGATGATGACTGTGAGTCTGTTCATCATCATCATTATCAGCTTAATATTAATATCCCCACTGCTGGGGCACAGGCCTTCCCTATGGATGGAATAGGGAGATTGGGCCATGACCTACCACTCGGGCCCAGTGCAGATTGGCGGGTGCTAACGACTGCAGATGCAGCCGGGACCAACGGCTTAACGTGCCTTCCGAAGCACGGAGGAGCCGAGATAGTAAATTTTTGGTCACCCATCCAATGACCGACCACTGCGAAAGGTGCTTAACTTCAACGATCGCAGCCGAACGCGCTAACCACTTGCGCTATCGAGCTCCTCGCATGTCCTCAGTGAGTCTGTTACACGTATACAATAGGCTATTTGACAGTATGAAAAATAATGTACCAATTGCTGCTATCCGTATTTAATCTGAATATTGGCAGTGATTTTACTATTCCGAAAGAACAAATAATTAATAACTTTCTATAAAATCGTTAAATAGAAATGTTTTTTTGCTCCATGGTCACGTGACCGAAAACACCTGGGATTGGCTAAGACTAAAATGACATCACACGCTAGTAAACTTCCGGTCGAAGTAACATTACATTGTATCGTTTGACGCTTTAATGACAGTCGTGTGACGTCACACACTAGTGAGATGCCATTATGTCTAGAGAAACTAGAGAAACTTGAGAATTGAATTTTTAATTTAGTTTTTTTTTATGAATTACGCAACATAAATAACGTGAGATCGTTTTCTAAAACTTGTCAAATACCCTATTACAGTTGGATTACCAGTTTTTAACAGTACTCTTGCTGCCTTATTCCAAAACGCGGACTAGTTAGTCTTGGTTTAATTAAACCTTATGCTGTCTTTGTCTCCTTTGTAGCTAACAAAATTGATAGCATCAGTTTTAAACCAGATGTAACTTTAGTCAACGTTTTGTAATAAGGCGATTTGGATTTAAGACGTGTTTATTTATAACTCTACATATAGTCTGTTTCAAACGAATTTAGACCAAAAGTAAACAAACTGGTAGGTCAGTCTGACCATAGACAGTTTAGTGTTGGGGATTCATAGAGCCTTATCAAAATCAATAGCACAATTGAATGATCGTATTCTTAGAAATTGTTAAAAATCTATGAGGTTTAATTTTTAAAATTAATAAATTTTATCGTCATTACTAAAAACGAGCTCTGGCTGTTAACTGTATTTGGCAATATAATTAACTATATTTCGTTACTTAATAAAACTCTTTCTGAACGACTGGTTTCCGTGATTTATTAAATATCTAGGTTCGTCGGCTAGCTAACTCGCAGCATTATCCTGTTGAATGTCCTGCATTCACTTTAGTTACTTCGTTCAACAGTAGTCAACTTTTACGTTTGTTATACAATTGTGAATAATTGTATTTATTATTATATAAAAAAATAATTTTTGCATACATATGCATTATACTGATATGTATATCAAACAAATAAATTTTGCATACATATGCATTATACTGATAAAAATGAGGTGATTTTTAAACCTATAACCATTCATTTCATCGATTCATTATTCGATTACTAAAGTCAATTGAAATAATTTGGAATAGACTTTTTGCACCGCAAAGGTGCAACACTGTTCAACCATAGATAACAGACAATTCCTGTATGCCAAAATAACCTTACTTTTTATTTTCAAAAGTAATAAAGAAATTTGTGAATTAATATGTCAAACCCCTAGGAATGCAAATTGATGTGTTGAGAAATCCATTTAGTGATTCATTGCGTGGGAATTGAGAGGTACAGTGTTTATGTTTTTATTTTTGTAGCATCTAACTGCTAGATATTTAAATCTAAAGAAAAGTTTTAATAGAAAAAACCTTGCCTGTAACCTGGGTTACATACAATGCGAAGAGATGGCGCTGCCTTGCAGCTAACGATAGGAAAATTTTGACGCGGCCGTCAGGGCCGCGGTAGCATAATTGGTCAGTGCATTCGCCCGGATTGCGAAGGGTGCGGGTTCGAGTCCCGTCTGCTGCCTGGTCCGCGTGGATTTTTTTTCTATTAAAGCTTTTCTTTAGAGGTAAAGTGTTTGTTTACCTTTAGTCTAAATTCGCTTGGAACAGACTCAACGGGCCATATGGCTCGATGATCTTTTTCGCCAGTGTGTCACCGTAAGTACTCGAACACCGTAAAACCGCGGCACAAATCGTCGGCGATCCAACCTACCTAGGTCCTAAGTGTTTTCATTGTTTCTTTGTAAATGGTGAAAGAATTTTTTTTTCATCATTTTACATCACTAATTCGGATTATAGATGTTCTTACTGCTGTAGTATATAATTTGCAAAACATAATTGTGTTGTGGTAAATTGTTTTCGTTTTGCGACAGTAGCTATAGCTTCGCTACGCGATGCGGTGATGGGGCTCGGGGGCAGCTCGGGGGATTCATCGCACGACGAGGACCAACCACCGCCTAGGAGAATGCGGACTAGAAGACGGGTGAGGAAATAATAAATAAATGTAATTCCGCCGTTCAAGTATTACGTAAGCAGTTATTACACTTATTTACTCCCCCTTCCCCGTTGTGAGCAAAAGTAAGCAAAGCTCTCCCCCCTCATCCTTTATTCCCAAGTCGCGGTTGCCTCCGTAGGCAAATGGTAATGAAGTCATTGCCCCCAATTCAGTTTTTTTAATTCCCATTTGCTTCCGGTGGCAATGCCCGCGGGGGCGACTCTGTATATACGACACCCTCCTATGTTTAAACATTGCTATATGCATTTTTCTTTTAATATATTCGTATTCATATTTTACTTATTCATTATTATGTGGGTATACCAACGATATTAAATACCCTAGATACATCACGGGCGCTCAAAATGTGTCCCAATCAAGAAGTGCTTGAACTCCACTCAAGCACTTCTTGGTTCACAGTCACGCGCGGACCGTTACAAAGTCAAGATGCCACAGAGATCCGTGAAACAATGCGAAAAAAATACTTACTTACTACGAAAAGTGTCGTTTTTTCGACAGGTTTAATCAATGTTTGTTAATTTAACTCATTTGAAGCAAATTTTGTTGTAATACTTACTATAAACTGATTTAATATAAAATATTTGTGATATTCAAATGCATGGTCGGTTATACGTCGCCGTATAGCCGTCTCTTTTCCTCGCGGTCCGTACCTGCTATATTGCTAACAGTGCATTCAGAATTGCGCGTAGAGTCAAAAAAATAAGGTCCATATTCTGTAGCATTTAGCAATAAGTCGTAAAATTTTACGAGCTTGCATTTCGAACTATCAGAAGTTTTTGACGCATGCGTTTTGATTAAGACCTTATACAGTATGCATTAAATGTGACTTTCAATGTTTAAATAATGCCTTATATGGTTTTTCACCACACGATCATCTTACGGGGCTCCGTGGATCGTACAATATACCTTTTGGACAGGTTTCGGCCACGATTTTGTTCGTATTGTTGTATCTAGGGTATTTAATATCGTTGGGGTATACCCGAAAATGCGTTTTGCTTCAAGCATAGACAATGTTTGAGTTGTCAAATATTGCTGACTTAATTAGACCCCCCTGACCCCCCTGGGGTATCAAAATACAGCGAAATAACTGGCCCCCCTCTATAATGTTTACATGATACTTGAATGGCCCTCACAGCAATTAGCCTAGCCCCAATACGCCTCCTAGACGAAGCGTAAGCGTACGAATAAATATATAGCTAACAACCACACAATATAAATATATATTTCCAAAACTCACACCAATAATACACAAGCTTACAGTGCTAACTTTGGGGTTAGGCTAATTGGTGTGAATGTTGTTTTTTTTATTCATTCATTTATCAGATAGACTATCAAAAAGTATTTGATACGTACTATCTTTATTCACGTAATCAAAACATTACATGACAAAGTGGCATGATATAATGTTTTGGGGACAATTTTTACTTAGAAGTAACTTCACGAGCCCCCACATTTTCAAACTTTGATGCTTTTTGTCTTTGTAAATTTTTGGTTGGTTGACCAAAGAAAAAATACGTGTCCATTATTTTTTGATTCCATTAATCAAATTCGACTTTGGTTCGTCCTCAGGGTGCAAAGCTCTGTTGCCTGGATATTTCATTATTTAGATTATAATAACATATAATTTAGAAAAGAACTATATAGGGTGAAATTGAATGTTTTAATGAAACTTCGTGAAATTGTTGGGTTACGTGAAAAGAATATGCCTGATTTTTTTCGGATTTTTTTGAAGTATTTTTTTTTCATGTTTTTATTTATAATTTGTGTATTTTTATGTCCTTTCCTCCTTTTGAGTAGTTATTCATTTTAAACAAACAAACTTACATATCCAGTGAAAAATAACTAATAAATAAGTACATCAAAAAAATGGAAAAACATTAAAATTCTACCGCGGGTCAACGACCGACCGCGCCCGCCAGCCGTTGAGTGAGTACGTACCTCTACACAGAGTTCAGTTGACTCCTTTGATTCCACACAATACAATAAAGTCGTCTTAGATGCCTTTATTGAAATAATAAGCACAAATGTCATCTTCTCTTAAGCGGAGAAAAACTTTAAAAGTTAATAATAATTTTGTCACGATTACAAATAGGCAAATGTTTAACAAAAAGAAATACTTATTGCAGTTCAATACTTGGGTAAAATTTATAACCCGGTATTCAAAAGTACTTACGATACCGATGTACCTATTCATTTTTTGCACTTAAACTTCCCGTATACATTTTGTAAACACAATCAATCACCAAACCTACTTTCGTAAAGCCTTGTGGCTCTGCTGAGTATACCGTGACACTACAATAACAACACACCATATCCAACTTCTTATATTGAGGCCACAGAACAAGAACTAATCATGGCATTATTTGCAAATCTTCTCTTGTCACAAATTTAAAAGATACGCACGCGCGATGGTCAAACTTGACACTGCGCTCGCTCACTGCGCTTTGCACCGCGCATAGGTAGGTATTCAACCGATTCAACGGCGGGAGCGGTCATTGCTCCCGACCGCTCGTCTTCTGTTTTTACGTTTTTTTAGTAGTGCTAATTAGTTGTTTTTTACTTACTCTGTATGCGTGTTTAAAAAGAATAATTATTTAGTACCCAAAAGGAGATTAAAATATAACAAAAAAAAAAACGAAATTTTATTTTAAATCATTTTTAAAAAATCTGAAAAAATTCAGAGATACTCTATAGACGTAGCCCAATAATACCACGAAGTTTCATTGAAACATTCAATTTTACCCTGTATATTTTAGAAACGGAACCTAATTTCTTACCTTTTACTGGAGGTATCAACCTATCTAAATAATTATATTTGGAACTAGCCTTTACTAGTTTCTGAGTATTGGAACGCTTTCCTAGTATCATCATCAGCCTATTAATATGCCCCCACTGCTGGGGACAGGCCTTCCCTATGATTGGAATAGGGAGATTGGGCCATGACCCACCACACGGGCCCAGTGCGGATTGGCGGGTGCTAACGACTGCAGATGCAATCGGGACCAACGGCTTAACGTGCCTTCCGAAGCACGGAGGAGCTCGAGATAGTAAATTTTTGGTCACCCATCCAATGACCGACCACGGCTAAAGTTGCTTAATTTCAACGATCGGAGCCTAACGCGCTTACCACCTACGCCATCGAGCTCCTCTATTCTAGTATATAAGATTTTCAAAAAGAAGTGTTTTAGCAAATTATACCTTTATGTTTATGTTAATAAGGTTTGTTTTCCTACAGGCAGCGGCGGAGGGGCACAGTAGCGACAGTGACGGAGACCTGGAACTGCCGGACATCATCGAGTTTGACCTCGACTAGCTCGCAATATATGTACATGTTGATCAGTTGACATATTGACTTTTATTTACTCTAAACCTTTATCATTATTGCCCGATTACACTTATTCATTAGTTATATTAGAAATGGAGGCCTTTGTCGAAAAACGGATCTTTGCATGTTGTGGGCCCTTGCTGTGTTTAAAGAATGGTGTAAAAAAGCAGATTTTGACAAAAATGTCTTGTACTGTGTTTTGATTTGGGACAGCCGTATTTGTTGGCAACGCCACCAAAAAGATTAATTAATAACATAAAAAAATGTTAATGAATCTCGGGCATGCGCCCTTTCTCTTGCTGCACCGCGTGTCCAGCTAATACATTGTGCTCCGAAATTTAATAAATAACTTAGTCAAAGAAATCTGGTTTTTCCCTGAACGTAAATATTCCTACCCGCAACAGTAATAAGAGAACGCGCGAATTCCACTGATCCAATTTTATTTTACAACTTTGTCGGCGAAATTCATATACGGTATGTATATGCTCCACAAAATTACAGCTTTCTAATACCAATACTCTCTAAACAAAACCTCGGACGGACAGACTGACGGACATGACGATACTATAAGGGTTTCTTGTTAGGGTTTTCCTACAGGCGGCGGCGGAGGGGCACAGTAGCGACAGAGACGGAAACCTGGAACTGCCAGACATCATCGAGTTTGACTTCGACTAGCCCGCAATATACAGGGTGTAAAAAAACCTATGACAAACACTAAAACTACGCATCCTGTACACCCAAACAAGTAATATTACAAAATATACTTGGGAAACATATGAGGAATCGGCGAACGGTATAATTAAATAAAAATAAATTTTACAGGAGCTGTATAAAAGTGAATGACATACCTCCGGTGAGCTTTTGGCATGGTTTTTAATTGGACATCGACGAAATCGGCCCTAGCATGCCCAAAAGAATGTCCTTCACTATTATTTTTCTATTATTTTTTTAATTTATTAGCAATTAATCATAGTAAACGGACAAACTGTTTAAAAAAATAAAAAATAAAAGTTCTGTTACTAGATATTACAGTCTGTTCATCCTAACTTGTCCTATTTCGTAAACAATCTTGGCACTCCTTTTTATTGAAAATATAGCATTAAAAATCAACTGATAACTGAATTCAATAGGTTTCAGTCTATTGTAATGATTTATTTTAATAGTTTATTGGCTTCGTTATTATTTTATTTTTAAATGGGTGATTTTGTTAAAAAGTTGTGCCAAGATTGTTTACCTTATAAATGCAATATAGGCGACCATAAGTATTTATCAACATAAGAATAGAACTAGGTACCTTAGTTAATAATAATTTTCACTAGTATTTATATTATATTTATAAAAAGATTATTTCTGAAATTATGTGAAGATAGTTTATACTCCCATCCCATATAATATCTGTTTATTTTTATGAAAATCATAATGATACCAGGTATATACCTTATTACCAATAGTAAATATAGAAACAGGTAATTGGAAAGACTTTGAACATATCATTTGAAAAGAAATCTATTATTACAACAGGTAGGTATAGGTATCATAGGTGCCATGGGTGCCAACTACCAACACTCATAAATCAATATGAATATAAGCATTTATTAATTTAATTATTAATTGCATTTTATGTTCATTTAATGCATATTATTTAAGCGCTTACATAGAGGTAAACACTAAATCTATTCAGAATATATAAAGTGTACATCTTTCACGATTAAGTATAATAATTATAACCTCAAAATCTAATACATTCTGTAGTAGGCCACGGTTCCTCAAGGTGTCCATAGCTCAACAAATGCCTAATTAGAGTTTATGAATGATTCCGAACACAACTAGCATTTTCTCTGCGTTCTAGGGCATTCAATGTATGGGGAACGAGCAATGTCCTTTAGTAATTTTAACATTGTATTAGGTGGTTTTCATTGAAAATTATTTGAGATTCAAATTCAATGGGCCCGAAACCTCCGGACTGTAAAAAAAGTAGTTTGACCAGATGCGTAATTATACCGTTTTGTTCGCCAGCTCCTCACTTATTCATTAGGCCAAATACGAGTGCCAATGAAATTCGAGTAAAGGATTAAGTGTAAATGAACGATGTCGAGTGATAGAGGTATAAGAATAGAGTGGGGAAGGCGGCTCTAAAAGTTTCTGTCTAGTAGAAAGAGAAAGAAGCTGTGAGACCGCTAGCTATCTCTCTCTCTTGTGACGCATGACATCCAATGGTATCACATCGAAATAGTAAGATGCTTACGGTTGCCAATGCGCATGCGCGATTAGAGAGAGAAAGCTAGCGGTCTCTCATCTTCTTTCTCTTGCTATTAGAGTGACACTTCCACTTGTAGTAGAGTCTATATCTCCCCTACTCTATTCTTATACCTCTATGGGTCGAGTACGCCCGGGTAGAATTTCTTTTGTTTACCCGATACCGTTTTCCAGCCCGTATTCCAGTGTAAATTTTGCTTAGGGTGTCCGAATTCGAGTAATGGCTTTCGTGCACCCGAATATGGGCTAAAGTCCAAGAGTAATCGAGCCATTATGTTGAATAATTAAATAATATTATAGACGACATCGTCAAATGTGCTGGGAGCCGCTGGATGCGGATAGCGCAGGACCGCGCATTGTGGCGTTCTATGGGGGAGGCCTATGTCCAGCAGTGGACGGAGAAGGGCTGATGGATGGATGGATAGATTATAAATATTCCATACACACCAATAATTAACCTAATCTCAAAGTAAGAACTGTAAGGCTTGTTAAGGGACATTAGGGTATTGGATGAATACATCCTTCCTTGTTCCTTGTCAGGATTACGGAATCCTAAAAGGATGGCGACTGAAGACAGTCATCCTACCGTCTAAAGCCGAAAATATATTTGTCTGTCGTTTTGTGTCGTGACGCGTCAGAGAGGTATCGTATATTTGTGTGTCGCCACCGTACTCATTCTAACTGGTAACGCCAAAACATATTCTAATCTCTAAATTCCATACCGTGTCATTCTCTTTTCGAATTAATCCCAATCGATCCTTCTCCTTCAAACACTGTGCCTTATGCTTGTGAGGGAATAAGACGCAATATATTCGCCGCCAACGACGGATGGCCGGAAGGAAATGGCAGTTTGTCACCAGTCTGTCACCGCATCAACAAAAAAAAAGGAGTCTGTCACCGCGAAATAACGAAATGGTCGAATTTGTCATCGCGCCGCAAGCTATTGTGATTAGGTATATTTTTCCGCAATAAAATCCGATAAAGAAGTGTGTGAAGATTGATAAATAATCTTAAATAAATGAACAGATTTCCTCGAAAATAGGTGGTTTTGTGTGTGATAGCTATCAACAAGGTCTTTCCTCACCGCCATCATTAACCGCTGACATCAGGAAGAGACTGCTGCAGGAGAAGCTGGCGTATGAGCCAGCGCCACCGTCCGACGAGGCCCTCCGCAAGTAAGCACAGTGTTTTTGTCCTCATCCTATCCCATAGACCAAACCCGCCTTATATATCGAACCATCGCCTTACAGTCCACTCTCCGGGGTTTCGACCCCACCAGATAACGTTTTACCGCATTCGGTTTCACCACACCGATACCTCTCTGACGTGACACGACACAACACGACAGACAATTATTATGTTTCATGGTCGATTCCACAGAACACAGAAAGAGGACAGACACAGACACAGAACCTCTCTGTGTTCTGTGGTCGATTCATTGAGCATCAAAGCGAATTCCAGAAGCTGAACAAGGCAAATTCGCCCATAGCTCTACAACGTAATGTACATATTCATTCCGAGATAATCGGCTGTCCCAAGTCAAAACACAGTAAGGGACTTTTAATAAATAATTATAATATATTCTTTATTGTTGTGCGCGACCATGAAACATAATAATTGTCTGTCGTGTTGTGTCGTGTCACGCCAGGGAGCTATCGGTTTCATACAACAAAGAACACAAGACATAAACTTAACGGATAAGTTTTACAAGAAAGCAAATACATGAATTTAATGATTTTAAAGATTATTTTTGAAACTATGAATCTAAAACTCAATACGACCTACGCCTACATTTTTGTATATTAAAAGTATAAAAATACAGTTCGGTGCAGGTTTTATCACACTTACTTACACACATCAAAAGTGTCTAGGGATCAACATATATTTTTGCAATAACTTTTCTCCTGATTGATATTAATTAAAATTTTCTTTAAGGATTCATCAAATAAAGTGTTTTCGTTTGTCACAGTAACGATAAACCAAGTCACCTTTGCATTAATAAAGAAATTTGCCATTTTCCTAATAAAGGGATTTTTGACATTTGAACCACTAACACAAAAGTTCGAAAAAAAGACTGAAATAACAGTTTTCTCTAAAATTTTATTGGGTAACTTAAACAATTAATAATCCGTATTTCTACCGCGAACACTAACAACACAAGAACATCGGTTTGGCATACTCAAAATGAGTTCATCCAAATCACGCTGTGGAATGGCCGCCCATGTTCGTTGCAACAACAAAAAAAGGTCTTCTTGCGACTGGATACCCTCCATATTCGGCAGAGCTCTTCTCTGTAGCATATCCCATGCATGCTCAATCGGGTTCAAGTCTGGCGACTGAGCAGGCCAGGGCAGGACATTGATGTTAGCTGCGGCGAGAGTCTGTCTTACAACTCTTGCGGTGTGCGGTCGTGCATTATCATGCATTAACTGAAATAAGGGACCGATTTGCACTTGTAGAGGAACGACGACGTCTGATACAATCGTCTCAGCATAAATTTGAGCGTTGAGGTTGCCTCTGATCCAAATCAACTCAGTTCTTCCGCCGATCCAAATACCCGCCCATACCATGATGGTTCCACCACTATAAGGATGGACTTCCTGGCAGGATTTTAATCGCTGTTGGCGTCCAGGGGTTCTCCAGTCTCGTATACGTCTTGTATCCGGTCTCATACCAAAACGAGACTCATCAGAAAAGCACACGAAACGCCATTGTTCTTCTGCCCAATTTCTGTGTTCAAGAGCCCATTGATATCGAATCCTACGATTGTGCATTGCTATAGGTGGTACCCGTAGCGGTCTTCGGGAATGAAGGTTCACTTCATGCAAGCGGTTTCTGACTGTTTGGTCGCTAATTAAGTTCCCTGAAGAGTGATGAAGCCTCACGGCTAACATCATGGCGGTTATTGTTGGAGCTCTTCGAGTTAAGATTTGAATGTATCGGTCTTGTCTCCGTGTGGTGCAGCGATACCGTCCTCCATGGCGCTCAGCCACGGTACCAGTGCTTCGGTATCGTGTCCAAAGTCGACTGATAACACTCTGACTTGTATTCAGAGCTAAAGCCACAGTACGTTGCCGGGAACCAGCTTCTATCATTCCCACGGC